ACTATACACAAGGCTGCCCTGTTCGGTAGTCCGTAATGCATGCGAGAAGTGTGAGAAAGTACATTAGGGTCAGTGACGACTTGGACTACACTCGAGTTGGGCGGGGCAAGAGGCGTGGCGTGGCTTGGCATGGCATGGATGCTGCTGCTGCTTGTACATTTACTTGTCGTGGCAATGGCAACCACTTTCGCTCTCAACTTGCAACATTTTGTGGCCTTACCGAGCCATATGTTCGCGCGCCCGTATGTGTGTATGTGTGTGTGTGTGTTTGCCATAATGTACAATTTAAATGTAAACAATTTGCCCCAATGTGGCGCAACGTGGCAAAAAACGTAACAGGACAAAGGCAGCTGAATAAAATATTTAAAAAGGCAGCAGCAGCAGCAGCCATCAGCATCTGCGGCGAACGCTAACAGCATATGCCAGACGTGGCAGCTGTGAATAGTGAAACTCAAATATTTATCTTGGCAATTGCCTCTAATTTAGTTCAAAGTTGCCAGTTGCCAGAGCTCTAAATAAACTTTTCATTAGCAGCAGTACACTCAAATACCTAGCATACACAGAGCGCAATGCTCCGGCCGTTAGACAAGCATAAGTTCAGCTAATATTATTTAATTAACTTTCTTTTATAGCTGTAATTGACTTTTATGTGCTTTGCAAATGTTTCAATCAAACTTCAAACACACCAAAAGCCACAAACTAGTAAATACAACGCCTCACCCACACCACGTAATCGTATTAGGCCTCACACAAGGAGCTTCAACAACCTCATATCAAATTAGTTACGCTTTATAAATGTTTATATGATTAGCGGTATAGTTAACTACATGTTAGGCGCTTGACGTGTACTTACCTTATACCAAATGCCTTTGCATGTTATTCTTTATAAGAGGCGCAAGCGGAATTTCGTTGTCGCAAAAGACTTTTTGGCCTTGCTTCAGTCTGCGAAATGGCGAACTAATTAAATAATATTGTGTAAAGGTATTTACTTCCAGGTAGCTATTTCGTGTTCTCCTTAATATGCAACAAGCTGATATTCATAAAAGCCCAAGCCACAACCGCAACAAACAAAAACCGCAGCGCCGCCAAAGCTTCAACCACGCAACCCACATCGATCTACATGCCCCTTTCCACTGCCAGGATAAACTTTGAAATAAAACCAACCCAAATCAATTGAAAGCTGTGATGTGTGCTGGGCTGTGCTGTGTTTTGCTGGGCAATAAAACAATTTGATCAAATTGAAAAACTAAAACAAGGCACAGATATTTGCCGCTATTGAAAGGCTGCCAAGTTTTTGTTATTTGGCATATATTTGACTCTGATGTTGTTGTTCTTGTTTTGTTGTTCTGTTGTTTCTTTTATTGTTGTTTACATTGCGTGCTACATTTAGCACGCTGCCATTGTTACGAGTTTGTTTAGCGACACGTTTTGCTGATTTCTATTATTGTCAATTTTTATTTTCCTTTTGCATTTCCCCAAGAGTTCATTAAACTCTTCGCCAGAGCGCAATACAACAAAATGTATTTTCAATTAATTAAAATAGCTTGTGCTTTTCAGTTAAAATTACAATTTCGACTCTGTTCATTTTCGCTAAAAGCAAATAATATGATTTTAAAGCATTCGCAGCGAACAGCAAGCGCTGCGCTGTTGTAGTGTCTTTTGTCTGCATAATTTATGCAACGTCTTTTGTGCCGCAACGTGGTGCCTGCGAGTCGAAGATTGAGAGCTAGGCGAATGCTGCACACGATGTTCTCTACGCCCTTTTACGACTCTTGTTTAATGTATGAAAAGTCCCACGCTGCGTATGCGTAATATCTACATTCAAAGCCTGTTGCAGTGCGAGCTTCAAAAACTAGTGGGGAACAGCTGCTGAAATATGTATTATATGGCAGAGAAAAATTAATATATTAAGATAATATGAATTATATTAATTAATAAATATTTATTATTGATCAAATATATAATTATTTATCAACATTTATTAACAAAAAGTTAAAACTAAGACAGATACACTATGTAGCCCAAAATAATACGGCAAAGCGAAGTCTCAACGGGAATATTTTGCTTACCCTTACCCAGCTATGCTCCAATTTATAGCCAAATATAGCTGACAATATAATTGCAAAAAAAAGTATTTAAAAAATATTAAGCTTAAGTTTTTATTTTAAAATATATTATCTTGACTTCTAGATAATATATTTTAAAATAAAAACTAAATAGAGAAAAACAAAAACAAATTAAGAGAGAGAGAGAGAAAAAGATAGTATTGGGAAATCATAACACAATCAGAGCGGTTTTTGTCAGACAAGCTATAGCCTGATTTAGGATTAATATCAATGTTTTAGATTTATTTAATAACATAAATTAAATTAAAATAAAAAATAGGTTGAAATGCTCAAAGCTGGCTTCACTTTATGCCCTTCAAATCATAAGCTCCAATGAAATTTGCGCCATGAACGAGTTGTTAAAGTAAATTCTTTGCTTTCAATTGCTTTATTTGTCCAACTTAATTGTAAAGTTCAAAGAAATTCATTGGAATTTCGCTAGAATGTCAAAACACTTGCACTAAGCAAGGCCTGAGTTCATAAATCAAGATAGCAAAGCTTACATAACAAATCTGAAATCAAACTCGAGTTAAGCCGAAAAACAAATATTAAATAAATTTCCTTGAATTTGTAGAAATTGAATAAGATATCTATTTATGATTTATCAACACAACACAGCATTTCCCAGCTGCTTAGAGAACAAAATGAAAATCAACAAAATGTTTATTTATATTCATTCATTTTCCAAAGTAATTTTCATAATGCCGAACTTTTCCCTAATTTATTTATAGCTTTCCCCATAATTTTTCGTTTATTTCGGAACTAATCTCTAGACTTCAATAAACATTTCCTGCAATATTGCCTTAATTAGAATTAGAAAACACACTCAACACATGGATATTAATTGATCTATGTTGAGAGCCTGTCAAATGTGTCGATGCTTAAATAATGAGCCGCCCAAATAACTCTGACAAGCCGTAAAAATTTCAATTGGGAATATGCGCGCCCGCCCCCGAGCTCTGATCGGCTCCGCTCGACTCGACTCGGCTCGTACGTGCTAAGTAATTTACATGAGGCCGAAAATAGCCGCAAATAATGCTATGTGTCAAAACAGAACATCAAACAGGCGTGAGAGCAGCGAGCTCGGGAGCTAGGGGAACTGCCATTGATGTTGGGGGCGCAGGTAGAGCTCAAGACTCAAGGCTCGAGAGAGCGACCAACTGGTAAGAACTATGTTGTTTTTTCTGTTAGTTTCATTTTGGGATACGGAACAGACATCAAAGTCATCGGCGTCGTCTCCTGGGCTGCCAATAAAAGAATTGAATGAATGCATAAATCATTAAAAGCGGCCAGACGATTGCCGCCAGCAGCAACTGGGCAGATGCCATTGGGCACTTATAAATAGATTTTCAGGGTGCAGCTAAAGGGCGCTCGGGCAGCATGGAGCTCTTGCTGCTGCCGCTGGGCAACTTCAAAGCTGTGGCAATTGCGATTGCAGCACAAAGCATCTAATTAGATGTTGTTGCAACAGGCATGGCCGCAACGGCTAAGCAAATATAAACTAACTGCTGCCTCTCCAGCTGCACGGGCTTTGGCTGGCCCAAGCCATTTATATGGATTTACGACTAGGTGTTGCCTTTTGCTTGGCAGCGCACATTTGCCCAGCTTGCCACAAGCCAAAGCGTTGACAAATTGCCGATGCCGCAGCGGAAGCTGCGCCGCCGCCATGTTTGCCATTTTGCTCAAGCTGTCAGCGAATGTGCGCCGGAAAGTATGCAACGCAATATAACAAATGGCTTGTGGCCTTGCAGAGCTGCGGTTGTCGTTGGCCAGCGAGCACACGAGCGGGCGCTCGCCATGCGGGACTTATTTCAATAATTTCCTAATACGTTCGCTCTACAAGACTGCATAGATTTATGCATGTAGCTGCGGCATGTGCTTTGCTAATCCCCTTTGCTGGTGCCGCCAGTTGGCAGGTGTGCGGGGAATTGCTGGCTTGGGAGCTACGATTAAATTTGCACTTCACTTTCGGCAAAAAGTTGGCAAAAAACATTTGAACATCAAAGTGCCGGGACAACAGGAAAAAAAACGAAAACCACAAAAAAAAAACATGGCAAAAAAGTGTTTTAAAAATTGTTTGCAAAATAAATGTTTCGCACTTTTGTTGCCACTGCTGTTAGCTGTTGCTGCTTTGCTGCTCCTCTAAGCACTTAAATTGGAGCAACTTAACATGCTGTGAGCTTTGCTAAAGAAATTTGCATTGCCTCGGCCTTAATAATTTCGAACGTGGCTTTAATTAAAGACTGCTGTTTATCAAGACCCAAAGTGTGTGTGGCTCGCAGCGGGCACAATATTTGTGAAACACAGAAGCCATGCTAGAGAAAACAATGTGGAAAATGTACTGGTTGCCCTGTCGATTGAAATAACATGAAACACGAGCCCGAAATTCGAGGTGAAGCAGCGTAGCATGAAAGAGAAATATTTTCTCTTTTCATTTATATATTATTTGTATTCCTTTATTTGTTTTATTTTATGTTTTATTTTGGGGTTACTTTTTATTTTGGAAAGAGAAAATAACAAACAGCAACAAGGACAGCCGGCAAACGGAAGCGTCGAGCAGACAATGGGCGTCGACGTGAAAGTGGGCGTACGAGCAGCTATGCGTGGCCCATTGCCTGAACTCCCACAAAGCTCCGCGTGCTGGCTTTGAGTATCTCGTTTCGCGCTCCACGCGAAACTAAAGCGGAAGCATTGTGTTAAAATAACAAACAATCAAGCGAATCATGCAGGATGTGCAAATAAGAAATAAATTTATTTTTATCAACGCCAACGCCAGCGCCGACTTCCTACCTGACAACTTCAATTGGCTGCTGCCCCCCTGTACTCCACGCCTCTTTGGCCCACATTGCTAAATAAAAAAATCAACTTTTCTTTTGGCCTGTTTTTCCATTGCAGTACCCGCACGTCTGGTTTGGGCCGCTGCCGGCAAGACCGTGGAGCTGCCTTGCGATTTGACGCCACCCACGCCGCAAGACTCAGTGAAATTGCTGCTTTGGTTCAAGGACACCACTGGCATACCGCTATACAGGTGAGTGCTGCTGCTGCAAATGCCAGAACATGGCAAATCAATTTCAGAGCCTGGTCAAACTATTTAGTTGCTAGTGGCCAAAAAAAAAAAGATAAAGAAAAAACTGTCTGAGCCAGCAGCCAGTCGACAAGCGGAAATGTTGCCCAAGTGCTGCACACATCTGCAGATCTACAAATACGCGCATGTAGACACACGTCCACAGGAACACATCCTGCAGGCGACAGCCATCCATCAAAAACGTGAAGTAATCGTCAACATCCTTTGCTGCCATCACACTTGGCGCATTTTTCACATTTTTTTTCTTTTTTTTTGCTTCCATTCAGTCCTTTTTCTGTGCGTTTTGCCTGTATTCCGGCTACGATGTTTTTTTTTGTGTGACGGTATTTTGGCGCAGGATCCCGGAAGAAGTGTTTTGTGTACTCGCATGGATGTGCGAGTGTGTGTGTGTGTGCATGAGTGTGACAAGGATGCGCCCGTCCACGCCGTCATAATCCACTTTGTTATAATAAATGTAAAGCACATCCGATTACAGTTGCCATCGCTAAAGTGTAGCAAATTTTCACGCACATACGCATCAGACACGCCTCCCACCACCCAGTCGCCTTTCCGCTGCCAGCTTTTATAAATTTCAGTTGATAAATTTTCAATGTGGCCCGCGCATTTCAAGTGCTGGCAGCGCGAGGCTTGCGTGCCCCAGCGGCAACTAGCAGACATATAGGTGTACAACTGGCCACCATCAGTCGATAATCATAAACAACTGCAGCAACTCAGCTGTGGCTGTGGCTCTGGCTCTGGCTCTGGTCGTAGCCAACAATTCAGCTATAAGAGTGCCGGGTGTTGTACATGAAATAAACAGAGTAATTTGCTAAAACAGCAACAAATTGCTGCAATTTGCGCAAAGCTGCCAAAGTCGCAACGTGGCACGCAGCAGCAAAGCAACAGTAACGAATCCAACAAAAGCAACACACACACACCCGCACACACACACACACGCTCGTGCAAATTGAGCGTCATTTTTTATGGCCCTAAATTATGGTAGCAGTAGGACAACCTGGGCGCCAGAACAAACGAATGGCCAAGAGATGCTTGCATATGTTTATTTATGATGTATAATAAGCGCCATGCTGCCAGCCACGCCCACACACTAAATTCACACTTAACCATTCGCTTTGCAGTCTGGACTCGCGTGGCGGCAACGTAAAGCTGGCGCCACATGCGGCCATAGCTAGCGATCTGGGTCAGCGTCTGTTCTTCAGCATTGGGGATAATCCCAAGGATTCGCGCCTGCAGATTAAGCAAGTTAAGCCCGAGGATGGCGGCGTCTATCGCTGCCGCATCGACTTCTTCAATTCTCCCACTCGCAACTTCAGGCACAACCTGACGCTTGTTGGTAAGTCGAATTGGGCCAAACGATCCGCATCACTCACTCACTCACTCTCTCCCTCTCTCTCACTCTCTCTTGCAGTGCCGCCCGAGGAACCGCGCATCTTCGATGCACAGGGCAAAGAAATCTCACAATTGGCTGGGCCATTTCGTGAGGGCTACGAGCTTTTCCTCTGCTGTCAAGTGAGAGGCGGTAGGTGCACATTATATTACATAATTCTGTATACATAAAACAAATATGAGTAACTGCGTGCTAAAAAAGTTAATATGGAATATGCAATGGGCAAGGAAATTTTACGTTATTTACTTCAATTTAAGGCAAAGCGCTGTAGGCCGAGGCCTAGCCTCTGGCAATTTTCTGTACTATTTATTCAACACTTTTGCTTTAGACTTTATTAAATATCAGCTTATAAAATATATTTATACTAATTGAATTTGTTAAGATTTTTGCGTTGATTGCATTAGTTTAAAAATTCATTAAATGAAGTCGAGTTCTGAGCCCAGCCATGTGCAGCCTGTCAGGTTGCGGTTGCACGCTCATCGGTCTAGGCAGTTAATTTGTGTGTAAGCCACACATACAGTCCTTTGCCAGTCCAAGTACAGACCGCAATAGCAGCTCGCATGTGACACTGACACTGACTGGCAGCACTCATAATGCATTATTGCTTCCCTGCAGGGCGGCCGCCACCGAAGGTCACCTGGTGGCGTGACGGCAACGAGCTGATCGGCACCAGCCACACATCCGTTGAGGAGGGCGCCACGGTTATGGTCAACCAGCTGCTGATTGGCACCACAACTCGGGATTACTATGGGGCGCGCATTGAGTGCCGTGCGCAGGGCACACGCCTGCTGGAGCCTGTCACCAAAGATGTCACCGTGCAGGTGCACTGTAAGTTCAAGTTCTTTGTTTTTGAGGCAAGTGCCTCACGTTAATTGTATTCGCAGTGAAACCAATTCGAGTGAAAATCATAACGCCCAATGACCTGCTCACTGCCGGTCATCCCATTGCCATACGTTGCGAATCGTGGGGCTCGTATCCGGCGGCCAAGATTGCCTGGCTGCTCGATGGCGAGCCCATACGCAACGCCGAGACGACCCTGCACAATGACAAAGAGGTAAGTGCTGGCTTCCAATTTGTAAAACAAAAACAAACGCTCCCAGAGGCTGTGTAACTTTTTTTGCCAGCAAATTTGCTGTCCATGTTTGACATTTGATAGTAATAGTAACACACGCAGCCGCCCACGCACCCGCACACCCCCAGCCGCCCAACTTTGAGCAACTGTGCGGCGCTTAATAACCTCTGAAGTGTAACTACCACTACTGCCATGGCCATACCGACCACTGGGTGACCCTAAAAGGCGACGTGAGCCAGGCAAAGTTTTGCTGCAGCCACAGAGCCAGAAGCTGCAGACAAGTTGACTTCAAGTGGCCCGTCCGCCTGGTTGGCTATTTGCCTTACCCCGCTCCGCACGCTCTGCAGTAGTTCTTTGATTAAGTGCACTGCCAAAAACTTTCAAGCGAGCTATACAAATTTGCACTCGACAGGGCGAACGACGGACGCTGGCCAGACTAATGTGCGAATTTTTATTTGAATTTATGTAGATGGGTCCCGGCCATTTGTTAAGGGCCCATCGCAATTTTTGTGCATCCTGCTTAAATTTATCAGCTCCAGTTCACATGCAACACGACTTCATTTGCCTGCGGCATAGACCCAGACCGTAGCAGCTTGTAAGACATGCGACCGCACTGTGTAAAGACAGCTCGGCTTTCGGCATCCATTAGTTATCCATGTGCCATACACTGCCACAAGGTATTAGAGCTATCGGCACGTAGCGCGGCCAGCATAAGCCATTTCTGTCCAGCGCAAAATCTATATCATTTTTCAGTCTCTTTTCAGACACAGTCTGCTTTCATTCTATGTGATTTCTCAACAAAATATCTATTTAGAATTCCAATATTCCCATAACTCAGAAGAGTATCTACTCTTCGTTAAGCAATACTCTCGCTTTTCGCTGCCTTTACCATTGCCGATGCCTTTTCCGCTTTCTAATTATGCGCATGGTAATGGATAGAGACAGGAGCCACAGCTAGAGCAGCTACAAATGCCTGAAAACGTGAACGGCTTGGCACTAGTCGAAAGCCAAACGTCGCCTGACATTAGGCAACTCGTGCATAACCAATTCGTTCGATAACAGAGCAGAATATGTGTCTCTGTGTGTGGGGGCGGTGTGACCGACTCGATTGTTGCCCAAAATGCTGATGGCTTGCCATCCTCATGCTTCGGTTTGCATTTGACGTAACCCAACACGCTGTTCGGCATGAGCAGCTAAAAATGCGATTCATTATTTGCCAAGCTCGTGCTGCAGTGCAACTTGAGCCGCCCTTTGGGTTGCTTGGCTTAGGCAAACAACAAAAAGAAACCATTAACAAAACCAAAAATCTGAAAAATATTCGTTTAATTATTTCGCAGGATGCCAACATAACAACCAGCATACTGACACTAAAGGTAACATCGGAGAACGACAATGCTGAGCTGACTTGTCGGGCGACGAACCCATGGTTCTCCGGCGGCGCCATCGAGGACAAGCGCATCATACGCGTGGCATGTAAGTAGAGAGTGAGAGAGAGAGAGAAAAAGAGAGTGCTGTGTTACCCACAACTGGCTGTCTCCATTGACTTCCTCGGATGAACTGCGAACTCAGCTGCATTCATAAAGACGAACTTGTATCTATCCTTTTGAAGAGTCCTTTCCGCCGCGGCCAATCCAATTAGAGGCGTGTTAGGGCCAGACCAACGTAATTTGATTAGGGCTACGGAGCCAGCTGCAACTCCTTTTCAAACTGAGCCCGAGGCGGCATTCACCTGTTGTGCCTGCTGCACGTTAAGCTGCTTATGAAATGCAGTCGACGGCAACATCAACGTCATTATTCCTGATCATCATCATCAGCATCGAGGCTGTCGTGGCCATAGGCGTTGTTGTTGGCCTCTACGTAGCCTTCGACTTGCCTTGATTAAATTTTCACTGTTATGTTTCCGGTGCTCATTTTTCGCCTAGCCATCATAATATTTGCAACATCCGCTTCCGGCTTCCGTTTTAGATTACTCCTGCCTGGGCCCAACCTGCAGCAACAAAAGCAAATTAAATTACCTGTACTCAATGCGGCCTCGACAACCTCTCCGTGCGACATCAGACTTCATTTCGATTTAATTTTGTGCCACATTTTTAATAATTCACCATAAATGTCCGCAATTTCTGTCGTCTTGCGTTCACATAGTTTTCTTCACCCGCCGCGCAAGCTGGCGAGTGGGCAGGAGCGCCCACAAGGCGCTCGACCTGGCGCCAGTCTCGGTCGCGTATTAGATTTTTACAACCGTAACTAATAGTCCCATTTGGCTTATGGCCAGGCGGCCGAGTACCACAATGGACTGAAGAGGCTCGCCCACCCACACTACCCATAGGCTGTACTCGATGCGTGGACAACAGCTGACCAGCTGAGCAGCCGTATCAGCCGCGTCAGCTTGGGATAACTACATTACGCAATGCTGGTTACGCCGGGCCGGGTAGCTCACCTTATGAGCCATTTGCGTTTATTATTTGGACTTTTATCCGGTCATTTGCAGCGCTCATTGGATTTGACGCCCGCACTTACTTATCTCCCTTCTTTTTCGTTGTTTCCCTATAGATCCGCCTACCGTCTCGGTGCACTTGGCCAACGAGGACCCCAGCCGCATGGTTACACGAGCCGAGGGCCAAAACGTTACATTCAAATGTCGTGCGGATGCCAGACCACCTGTCACCAGCTACTCCTGGTTCAAGAACGTAAGTACGCCGCAGATTTTCATCAATTCCTTGAACTCCCAATTTGGCCGTGGCCCTCACCCCGCCAAACACACAGAAACTACGCCTCGCCAAGGCGGGCCAACCACTGACGCCTCTCAGACAGCAAACACTTGGGCAATTTTTATTATCAATTGCTGTACTAGGCCGTGGCTGCCTTCTCTGCTTTCTGCTCTCTCGGGCTGTCGAAATTCCTGCGGCAACTTAAGCAGACACTTTGCGGTTTAATTTAATTTACCGAAATTGTTTGCAGCAGCCGAAATTTCGAAAGCTGCGGCCAACTCCATATTGTGAGATGGCAGGCGCCAAATATGTGGCCTATTCGGTTACCAAGTGACCAACAGCTTTAAAGCTGTGTGCTCTTCTGGTTCTTTTGCCAAATGCGTGTGGGACGAGCATTAATAAGTACTAATGATAGATTTTGATTGAAGTTGGCTTGTATTGAAAATTATTTAAGCATTAATCATGCGACAAATAAGCCAGAGATTGACCAAGCGTCGCTGCTTCCATTCATATATATTTATATAGAATCATAAAAGCCACAAAGCTTGACCGGCATTGTTCGGTCTTACGGCATTGTGTTGTTGTTATTACTAAATGGGCAAGGTTTTGACAACCTTTGACAGTTTTGTTCACATGGCACATCATCATTTTTCATGGCTCACACACACACACACACACACAATAGCATTAAATTATATTTTCTTTTTCACTCACATTATTATACAATATTTTCTTCGTCTCCGCCGAGTGAGTGTTTCGGCTTGGCATTTAACAAATTATCCCAGACCATTGCGAGAAAATGAGAAACTTTTTAATATTTAGGGCATTTTGTCTTTCGCGCTTCGGTCCTGCCTTTTGCCGTTGCCATTTGTAAACAAAAAGCAAAAATCGACAAGAATTATGAAAAACGATGCGCCCAATGCGAACAGAGAAAAAAGTTCGAAGTAGCAGCAAAAAGTGAGCAAACTTTGTCACTTCTTCGCCTGTCACACCGCAGTCTGCTCTAGAGTTACTTTATCAGCAGTTTCTTGCTTCTCCGTTTAGATAACCCCAGGACTTAAGGCCAGCTCAGCTTTAAGATTTCCCCGACCACAAACAAACAAGAAATGTAATTTTCCTGTTTAAGTTACGGTGTCCAAAGCCTGTTGCATTTAGTTTTAAGCGCATTAAAAATGCATTGGAAACCACAATTTTAATTAGCATTATTCATCAGATTTTACAAATTTACATATGAATAAAAATTAAATTTGCCATTAAGGGAGACTTCAGTCGGCAAACACCTCCTCAATAAATTCAAATTCAATTTATATATAATATATTAAGGATTTATTTTATATTCCAAAATTGAAAATAAACCGCAAAGTTAATATATTAAATGCATAATATAAATTAGCTTTGTAACACATTTATATATATATATATATATACATATCCACTAGCAAAAGCTTATGCTCTTTTGTAGCTTCTGAGATACTTTCATGCCCTATAACCGCATATCCATATTTACAGGATATATATGTAGATAATTTAAAATGCCATTGGATATTGCTTCAATTATAATTTCAGTGTTAATATTTTCATATTTCACATTTTCATATATTTTTTTTCACAACAGCGTAAAATTAACTCTAATTTGATGGCAACGAAATAAAGGCAAAATGATTACAAAATGTATTCTGTGCTGGTGGCAAGTCGTAGTTGGAGCGCGTTAATTGTGCGTTTAAATCGATTGTCCAAATATAATACATTTCATCGCATCCAATAATGCCAATAGAGATGCTTGAATTCCATTTAATTAGATTTCCAGTCGAAACCGAAATATTATTGAGAGCACTTTGTGGTCGCTTAGGCCGCGACATGCGCAGAATTTGTTAATGACATAAAATAGAATATGGCTGTCACTGTCTGTGGTGGTGTCTGTGGTCTTTTCTGAATTCAATTGCATTTCCATTAGCTGTGATTTATGTATTCCCCTCAATATGCTATTGCTTCAAAGATTAGCCACTGAACGATAGCGTTTGGCTAGCCCAAGTCATCCACCACGAGATACGCAATGCTTAGTCAAGTTTGCAGTGCATTCAATTGTGATTGAGACCTTTGTGCACCGGCTAAAGAAACGGAAAGTCAGAGCCCTTCCCAGCTTGTATGTAATATCTTCCTTTATTGTATAAACTATTTGAAATCGAGGCATAAGCTGCAATCTGTGCTTTGACAACGTTTTATTCGTAATCTCTATTGTATGTATTTGCAGGGCATGCGTATGTCTGGCGAGAGCACGGAAATCATGCACCTGACGCACCTGGAGCGAGAAAGTGCAGGTGCTTACGCCTGCGGAGCAACTAATACGGAAGGAGAGACGCGCAGCTCCAGCCTCACCCTCAAAGTGCAGTGTAAGTAAGCAGCTTTGCTGGGGGCAGGCTCGATAGAAAAATAAGTAAGCTATATATGCTAGAAGCGGAGGGAGGCAGCCATGACACTGCCAACAATATGATGAAATAACATGGCGAACGGAAGCGGATGTTGCAAAATAAAATCAACTTGCTGCAGCTCGTGGCTATGGCAACAAAAAATATGTAAGTTGCCAACTTGCGCAGCGGATGAGGAAATTGCTTAGAAATAATACATAGCCCTTCTGTGGCAGACCGGCTATACGTGCGTACTTGTTTACAATTGTGAAATTGTTGCTGCCAGCGGGCTAAATAACCGCCATTGATTTACACACAAAAGTTTCGGCTATAAATTTAACTCTCGCAACGGCTCTGCCAACTTTTTTCATAAACCTCACGCACTGCCTTTGGGGATTTGCCGCCGCCGCCGCCGCCACCGCCAGCAATTTTTTATCACAAGATTAATGTGCACTGCATATAAAAACGATTGAACTATATAAATCAGTTGATCAATGTGGGCCGTCTGTAGCCCAAAAATTTGAAGTGTTGCCCAAAATGGAGCCAGCTCGAGCTGTCATCCATCGTAAATTGAATTCATTTGGCGCACCTTTCACAATTTACAGCTCCGAGCCGTGCTAAGAGATTGAGAATTTATCATAAAGTGAGCACTCCTTTTGTTTTGAACAAAGATTAACTACATTTATATAGTTAAAAAGTGGCAATAATTCAGTAAAGTTCTCTGAAATTTAATTGAATTTAAAAGTTTAAGTCCTTTACAGAAGATTTCATCTAAAAGAGTTTCTAGTTGATTTCTGTTGTTATTAAACGCATGTGACGACGACAAAGTTGAAAAGAACATGTATTCACATTATAAATCTTCTTTGCTCACACACACAGGCACACACAATCCCCTTACTTGACGGAAATCTACAAAGGAAACTGAATCATTTTTCAGTGCTCGAAAGTCGGAAATACGCATTTCAAGCTATACGACAGTTAAAGTAGTTTTTATTTGGAATTATGAAAGTTTAACGCGTTGAGTTGTGGGCAAGTTAAGCTCAACTCACACACATTAGCAACAAGTACACACACACACACACATAGACACTTCCTCTGATGAAGAAGTCTTTTAAACATATTGCGCTGAAATACAGGCAGGCAACTTGTGATAACAGCAGCAAGTAATAAAGCCTCAAATACTTATCAGCCTTGCCGTGACTTACATACAAAGACGGCTTTCAGCGCGCGTTCACTTGTATGAAATGTGAATAGTGCACACATGAGTCTTCATGCACGTAGATACATACATGTGTGTATGTAGTAGGGCGTGTGGGCGTATGGCAGACTGAGTTGGCCTGCGGGCTTGAGCGCTACTTCCGTATATCTGCTCTCATTTTACAGTCAAGTGAAAGTAAACTCGGCAACAGCTTCTTCAATACCTGCCACGCCTCCACACACACACTGAGATTTAGCCGCTTTTAAGCATAAACAGGACAACAACAACGACAGCAGACACGTTCATGAAACGGAAACATGTTAATTACTATGCTCAAGGCTATGTAGCTGGGACGACTTCCTCCTGGATTTGGTCTCCTGCCTCTCTTTTTATACCCTGATCCCATTAAAAATGGGAAATCAGGGTATAATGGTTTTGTGCAAATGTATGTAACAGGCAGAAGGAGGCGTGGCAGACCCCATAAAGTATATATATTCTTGATCAGGACGACAAGCCGAGTCGATTGAGCCCTGTCCGTCTGTCTGTCCGTCCGTCTGTCCGTCTGTCCGTCTGTCCGTCTGTCCGTATGTGTGAACGCGTGGATCTCAGCATCTATAAGAGCTAGAGACTTGAAATTTTTTTTGTAGGTCCGTGTATAGCACGCGCAGGTCAAGTTTGTTTCAAATATTCGATAACTATTCGCATTTAATTGTTATCGAATAAAAACATTATTGAAATGCAGTAAATAAATTATATCTCGAACGTCTTAAGAGCTAGAGCCTCCAAATTTTGTATTTAGTCTTATATATATTTTATGCAATTTTGATTTTTGTTGGATTTTGGATACCGGCTCCAAATTCCCCCAAATTCTTAGAATTTAAGTTTAGTTGGAAATAGGGCCATTATGTGAAGGCGTTTGCATCTCAACCAAGCCAATAGGATATGTAGATCATATGCTGAAAATTTCATTAAAATCCATTAAGTAAAACAGAAGTTATTAAACAAAACGTTTGGCCAATTTCCAAAAGCACATGTCAGCAGCGCCACGCGCACGCATTTTTCCTATGCGTGTGCACACATACATTCAAATGCGTGTATTCTTTTCTATTCCAAGAATTGAAATTGCGATTGAATTGTGCTGAATTATTAGCTGCTACTTATGTTCAAATTTGCAACAGCCCGTGCAAGAAGGACAGTGGCTGCGTTGGTAGTGGCCCCGCTCGTATGCAGCTTGGTCCGGGTTCGAGACCGGAGGAGATGAAATGTTTTTTACTGTTTTATTTTTTTTTTTTTTAGTTATGAAGTGGCGGTGTTGGTAGAGTTTGTGCACGTTGCGCAAATAATCCGGGTTCGAATCCTGGTCTCGCAATGTCGATTTTTATTTGTTTTCTCTTTTTTTTTAATACTCGATACAAACTACGGAAAATATTACAAAACTCAAAGGACTGGGATCAGGGTATCTCCTAGTCGGGCACCCCGACTAGAGCTTTCTTACTTGTTTTCATTTTTTTCTTATTTTTATTTTCGTTTTTGTGTACTTTCGTGTCCGGGTGGCTAAGCTCAAGTGGGGTGCAGCCTGTTTGCTTTCCAAGCCAAGCACCAACATTAAAAAAGAAATGCTTTGCGGCTTAGCGACATTTTCTTCGACATGGCTTGATGTGATGATTTTAATTTTTTGTTTCTTTTGCAGTCTCGCCGCGCTGTAAGCCGGGCACAGAGCAGACCTCGATTGGAGCCATTAACATGCACTCGATACAGGTGAAATGCGAAGTGGATGCTGATCCGCCAGAGTCGGTCAGGTTTAGTTGGACCTACAACAATACGCGCAATGTGTCACCGGTAAGTGTTATTGAGCCAACACCCAAATTGCATGCCGAATCCTTCTTCATCACATTCCTGACGGCTAACTTGCAACATGCCACTGTGATTACATTCGCAAACGTGGCTGCAACTGTAATGCGCACGGCTAGCTAAAAAGTATTGATTCGCCAGGTGGAGAGCTGGCCACTTGCAGCACGAAGGTGGGCAGCTATTAGCAAAACTTGTGTTAAATACTCGCTAGCTGGCTGAAAACACGAAAGCACTCCCCCAGAACAACGACAGCTCGACGAAGAAAATCCAAATGGGAAGCAGACTGAACAACTTTGTACGTGACTGAATTAAAATTTAATCAAAATGTATAAATTGTGCAGTGGGCACCCAGTGCGAGGTATGCTCCTAAACTGAAAAGCTGCCAGCAAAGCAGAGAGTGAAAGAGGAGCAGGAGCAGGCGGAGGAGGGCGGACAGGAAAAGTGAGACTGCGAGAAATCGAGCAGAAGACATGCATATGCGAGTCTACTAAGCATTGGGGACAGCTGTGCACAATAAATAAAGTAATTCATTTAGCTCAAAAGTTATTTGAAAATCCGCACGAAAATCCAGTGAGCCGAGCCACAACTTCAGTCCCGTCTGGACCACACTGAACTTAACTTGGCTCGCCTCGACTTATCCAACTGCATTGCAATAAAAACCGATTTGCCTTGAAATATTTATGCAAGCTCAACAGCTCGACTGCCCGACTGCTCGACTTTTGCTAGGCTTCAATGATTTTGCTTATGCTTGCAGTACGAGTTGTAATCCATGCTCTGCCTTATATGCTTTCAGGTGCTGAACTCCAGGATACAATCGAACGGTCTGTCCAGCACTGTGACGTATCTGCCGCAAACCGACTCCGAACTAATAACACTGGCTTGCTGGGCCAGCAATCCGGTGGGCAGACAGACGGCGCCATGTCTAGTTCACATACTGCCAGCAAGTAAGTAAAGGAAATTGTTATCATCTCTGCACCCCGAAGGCCGCAACCCGTCGCAAACTACCTGCCCGACTGTCCAAAGATGCAGACATTGTGTACAATTTGGTGGTTGCATCGGTGTATGAGTGCTGGTGTGTCCGTGTGTGTGCATATGCCGGTGTGAGTGCACATATTATGCACATCGAAGGATATACTTACTTAATTGGTTGCCTGGCTGGGCAAAACTCATGGCAAATAATCATCAGAGTGCGTGGTTTACCTCAATTTCCACCCACAGCTCGTATCATTATAAGGTCTATGCCCAAAATTTGGACGTTATTAATGCAAACTGTGGGCGTGTCCTTATCACTCCTTTATTTGCGCAAAATGGGGAAACTGTTGGCCCCAAATTCGCAATGCAAATTTGTTACCAATGCCAACTGTAAACTATCCTGCAATTGAGTCTGTCTTCACATTTAACCTGCCCTCTACTCTTCCATCCGCAGATGCACCGGAGGCGCCGAAAGGTTGCGAACTGCGCAACGATACCGTCCTCGAGGTGGTGTGTGTGGCCGGCAGTGATGGGGGACTCTCGCAACACTTCATGCTGGAGGTGGTGGGCGGCGATTTGCTATATGCCAGCGAGTCGGCGACGGGCAAGGGCCAGTTCGGCGAGACGATTGGCCAGGTCGACAATGAGTTATCCACGCTCAACGATCAGGTGAGTCCTCAATTGAGTTCAAACATAATTTGCAGCACGTGCACTCGCTGTCCAGCGAGGCTGGTTCTTGTGGACTGATTAAATTAAAATTAAGACATGGATGGGAAAGTTGATTCGCTTGAAATCCATATGGTCAATTAGTGTGTTCGTCCTTTCTGACTTTTCTGCTTGAATTATTAATGAATATGATTTTGAGTCAAGGCGCAGGGGCCGGCCAATCGTACGGGTTAAGCCACATGGTTCAAGCGTAAAAAGGACAACATAATTAATGCTGTAGGTTGCCATGCGGGGCGAGCAGTTTAACCAACTGTGCGGACGAAGGATGATGGACGGAGGACGACGTCATCCATAAGCCAATGCGGCAAACACATGCTGAGTTATTAAATTATCTCTGTCGCTCGTAAAAGAGAATATCATATGAAAATTTCATTTCATTTCGTTTGGTTGCTTTCAGCAACTTAAGTTAGCTGCAGAGGCCCCGAAGAGGGGCAGTTGAGAGTCGGGTTGGGCGGAAGGTACGGCCAGTACAAGTAATCGGAGCAAGTTGTCATGCTTTGCTGATGGGAGGGCTAGGCGGGTGAGTTTATTAGCAAAGTAGCCAAGCGCAAAGCAACGACAGGTCGAGGAGATGAGCAGAGCGAGGCGGCGAGTGTGATGAGCAGGACATGGGCTCTGACCAACGTTGGACGTTTGCAGCTTAAAAGTTTCACGCTAGATAAAAACGGCATACAGCAGCAGCAGCTTTGGTACTCAGTGGTGGGCGGTGGATCAGTGGTTCGGTGCGTCGCTTGGTCGCTTGGACGGTGGGCATGCATAAGCGCCGCAAGGACAACATAAATTACTTACGCTTACTTGAGTGGGAATTTGTGCGTAACCAACGAAGCTCACTCGATTGTGTCCCATTACGGCAAACGGATATTCAGTTTAAAATTTCAGACAGCGCTCTGGTCAGAACAATGTGGCATGCTACCCCCATGCACGACTCGCAATCTGAGCACATTTTTAGGCATGAATAATTATTTATTTGCTGTGTGTGTGTTTGGGTCTCAGAACTTGCCAACAAATAAACATGGCCCAGGCATATGGCCAGCATATTATAATACGACATATATCTGTCTAACATAAGCGTATCTATATATATATATATATATATATATATACATACATATAGTTATATATTTGTATATATATTTTGATTTTATTTTTACTCGGTTTTTGTTTTGCTCATTCACTTTTCTTTTCAGGCTACATCTGCTCCCATCTTCCGCATGGAGGAGAACAGTCCACAATTTCGTTTGAATAATTTAGAGCCGGGACGTGAATATCAATTTTTAGTTTATGCCGTTAACGCAAAAGGACGCAGCGAGCCGCCGGTGGTGATTGAACGTGTGCGAGTCGCTGCACAACTGGGACCATATGGTATGTAACCGAGTAACCGAGTACTCCTAGTCACAAGACAAAAGGCCCACATAAAGTGTGCCAAAATATTTGCCAATTGCAAAGCAGCGTTTGCCGGCTGCCAGTTGCGGGTCACTTTTTGGCAATAGCCATAAAGTTCGTCGAGTTGGGTTGTGATTCCATGTGCCATGCTGCTGGTAGTTTGTAGTTGATAGCTGCCAGCAATCGACGTGGCTGTCTAATTCAACGCTTCACTGCATTTTCAAATCAACGCAAGTTCAAGAAAATCATCTTCAATCAGGCGCCGCGAAAACTGTGCGCAGGCATAGGCAAAAGCACAAGCGAAAACAAAAATAAAAAAACAAGAAGGACCCTATGTCCTGGCTGGCTGGCTGGCGGCTGAGGGCAGACTGGCTTGTAGGCCTGCTGCTGGAGACGCCCTTTTCTAATCCACTGACTGAGTTATGCAGCGATGCGTAAAGCATTTCAGCATTTTCCATCAATGCGCCGAGCGAGGCACGCATATTACGTATACGCAAGGGCGTGCCACTACAGCCTCTTAATTTTTCCCATTCTTAACGACATAACGACAACTGTGTGCGCCTCTATGTGTGGTCGATCACATGTGTGTGCGTGTGTGTGGGTGTGCGGGTGTGCGAGTGTGCGTGTGTGTATGTCATTGGCAATGCCCTTCTTTATTTCATACCATCGAGCGAGCAGGCGAAGCGAAATTGCTTCAATTTTCGTTTTGCTTAACGGGAAGCCGTAGACACTTTGCTTTTATTGTTCGCCTCACATACGCATTCCCATTCGCACTCATCCATTGCGTACATGCACGTATATCGGTATATCGGTGCGTAGGCAGCGACGAGTACAACGTTGTCATTATTTTCATGCTGATTTTTATTTTTATCTGCCTTTCCATTACCATTTTCATTTTCATTTGCAGCGCCACACTTTTCCTCTTTGTGTTTGCTATTGCTTTTTAGCCATTTCCATTCGCCTTAACGGGCACAGTTCGAGTTGGCCATAAATCACATATAATATTGACCGATTTAATGCGCCTAATTGTGCTTCATACGCAAATGTTCAATTTAATATTCCTTGTCTGCCAGGTCAGCTCTGGCGACGCTCGGTGTGCCAAGGCGTCGTCCATTCAGCTACGAAGCAATAAATGTGATTACCACGGGGCTGCGCCTGCAGATCCAGATCCCTTGAAAGCTTGATAGGAGTAATTTATGCGAAATTTTAACACTGCCAGCCAAGGTCTGCCTACGCAGCTTCTATTATTTACACAATGCCTGAAAATTGTGTTTCCGCACATGTGTGTGTGCGTGTTTGTGTAGGTGTGAGTAACTTGCCTATAGATAGGTCCAAACAGCGCCACCCTGGAGTCACAATATTCACGTGTGAATAACGACGTCGACGCTTGACGCTGATTTTTGATGCCGCTGATTTAAATCAGTTTATGGTAAAATGAAAAACACATGGGGCTACAATATTCGTCTATTTTTATTTAATGAAAGCCTTGAAGAGAAGGTTCAGCAGCAAATAAATTGGCAAATCTGCCAGGAGAAAAAAAATCTTTTAGCCTGCAGCCAGATGAAAGCAGACCTGAGCAACTGGTTGACGAGCACAAATCAGGAAGTGAGAACGCAGAAGATACCCTTTAAGCAAGAGGCACAGATGAGAATGTTTTTTGATGGGTAGCAAATGATACGGAAATGTAACAAACTGTCTTAGTCAAAGCTTTTGATAGTTTCTTGAAGAGGGAGTTTCATGAAGCAACCTTCGACAAGAAGTTGTGCAGCTACAGAGTATAAAAAAGTTGAAAAACGGCCAAGAATATTGCTAAGAATATTGTTGGCTAAGGCCAACAGCATCAATGGCAGCCACACAGCAACCAAAATTAAATTGAGCCGCAGGTGTAGGCAATTTCCACCTAAATGCTCGCCTCAAAAGCCAGACCTGGGCCGCCAGGGCAACCACTTGGCAGTGTTTCAATTCGAAGCTCGCAAATGGAGCGGAAATGTTGCATAGCAGTTAGAAGTGAGAGGGAGAGAGAGCGGGCTCATGGCCCAGCTGGTGGGCATCTGGGAACTTGAGCAGGTAGGCTGGGGTTAGCTGAGACAAGGCGAATGAATCGCATAAATCTTGCCTGGGGATCATCTTACAACAAAGAGTTTGCTCCTGCAATTTCCGCTTTTCCATTGCCAGCTAAATATCTAATAAATATAAACAATGCCCCTCGCATGTTGCTAATAATTGGCCCGGCTCTTGCAGTCTAGAGCAATCAGCGTCCTGATTTTGTTGCCCTTGGCAGCGGTGAGCAATTAAAGCTCTATCGAGTAGCTGCCCACACTCACGCGGGCTCTGGCCAATTGGGCTAATTTCAATTTTCAACACAATTTGCCATAGCAACGCGAGCGAAAGCGGAACGACTTAATGCAAAGAAAACAAAAACCTTCCCGAAAACAAATACACAACAGCAAAGCAGTTAAAGCAATCAGTTCAGTAAAAGGCAAAACGTGAGCGAACACACACACACACACACACCCTTAGTGAATTCCAAAATAAAACAAAACAAACAAATAAATAGCAATGAAACACAAAAAAAATGAAGAGGATGAAAATGGGAAACCAAGATAGGTGGCTGCGCCAAGGGCTGCTTCCACAACATCATACTAATTTCGAGCAAATAACAAATCATTGTTCACCCTGCCCCAGCCACTTTAGTCTGCCTGAGCCAACAAACTATTTGATGTCTAACCTGCGTCCACTTTGCGCTGTGTTTTATCTCACTTACAGATGAATCTATACTCTCGGAGGATCCGACTCCCGCGGAAACCACGCATCATGTGGGCGGCAGTGGCAGCAGCGGCGGCGGCGCTAGTGGCGTCGGCGCCGGCGCCAGCATCGGCAGCGGCCCAGAGAAGGAGTCGACGCTGCTCATACTTGCCACAGTCGTGGCGATAGGCGCCGTCATTGTGACGTCAATTATCGTGGCCGGCATTGTTGTTGTGTGTCGGCATCGGCCGCGGCCACCTGAGCCGCAGGAGGTGCGCAAGAGCATGCGGTAAGTTAGCCCTGAATACCATGTAAAGAGGTCAACGAAATGGGGAATGTCCTAACGAAAGAGTTCATTAAATGGCAACAGCTATTGTCGAAGTCAAAGTCTTATTAACTCCTAAGTAGTCGAGATCTATTAATAATAGTAATATATAAAAATGATATGAACAGGGTATTTCCTAGTCGTGTTTTTATTATTATCTGTTTTGAGCGGAGCGCATATAAAAACTAATAATGAAATTGTTTGCTCTGCTGTTGCGGCTGTGTGCAAAAATAATTACAGCCTTATTTATGTGGCGGACGTGTGCTGCAGCAGAAGTAGATTGAGAAAAGAAAGTATAAGCAGCATAAATAATTGTAACATATTTCAGTGACCCCTTTTTGATTACATGCAATTAAGATTCACGTCAACTGCAGGCAACGAGTGCATACTAAATTGCACACCTGCTACGAGTTGAAGTCTTTAAAGTTCGTTCGGGGCACAATTGGCAGCGGCTTCCATCGGGCTCATTAAGCATTTCGCGCGGCAATGACTGAATCGATTAGCCCGCAGCAATAGACCCAAAGCCATTCGTTGGGCCGGGCTAAACAAAGAGCACGCAGCTGCCCACTAAATTATGCTTAGACTGTAATTAAATTAATTAAACCTGCACCTGACTGCGAACCACAAAAGACCAAGAGAAAAGAATCGAAACGAACGGCACTGGCCCTCGCCCTGTGTCTGTGTCTGAGCTGGTGTCGGTGTGTGTCCTGTGCGCACCGGAAAGGGAAGCCGCCAGCCCAGCACCGTCGCACCGTCAAGTAAGTTTCATTTAAGATAAGAAATCAGCGTTAACTTTGAAAGGGTCGACCGGCAAAGAGTAGATAATTAAGCAGCTGCTTAACCTGCCTGGCTGCCCGACTGCCTGGTTGCCTGACTGCCTGGCTGCCTGCTTGTCGCATTGTCTCCGATTCCCAGTGTAGGCAGCTCCACCTGGTCATAGTTATCGGACTCTGTCAACTGTCAGCTGAGGCCCAGCTTGAAGCCTCTGCCAGTCTCTGTGCTTGTGCTAATGAAAGACAAACTCGTAATGCTGAAAAAACTCTGTGTGGGCGTGTGAGTGCCACGCTTAGCCCAGCGGCCATTTAGTTATCCATTGAAACCTTTTGCCCGCGTCCATCTAGCAGCCATCCTGCCATATTTGTACTGTCACTTAATCGTATCAGGCGTCTGATTATCGGTCCGCCTGCCAGCCGCATGTGCGCATAGCTGAGCAACGCCACTCGAGCCACAAGTCCCGGCAGCAGAGCACGAGCATATTAATTACGCTGCGCAAAGCTAAAAACTTTCAAAAGCCGATTGGTCGTGCTGTGCCACATCAAAGCTCCCCACATGCTGGTCATTAAATGCCCGATTTATACATTAAAATGGTCGCAATAATATATACACCTGTCTCTTATGTCAGAGGGACCGCGACGCATCCGTAGATCAAATGATTCACAATTTCAATGGTTGTCAGGCGAATGGCCCTCTCCTTTCCCTTAGTTTTCATGTGCGTCAGAGCATAAATTTTAGCGATTTGCCTTTTGTGTGAAGTCATAGTGCAAATATTTATACACGCACACCCACACACACAGTGGCAGCTGCATAGTGTGTACGTTCAGTTTGAACTGATAAGCGCGTATTGGATTTAATTAGCTCGTGCACCGTGGTCCACAATGCATTACGGTAGCTAAGGGGAAAGAGCAGGCTGTGATATTGCGTATACGCCACGTGCAACGTACAAAATATGATACGGCTGAAAAAAAATGGAAGCAGTTGATCCCAGGTGACCTAGCTCCCGGTTGGTTTTAACTGTTGTTGTTTTTGTTGACCTGTCGCTTAGCTCAGTTGAGTTCAAACAAACTTGTCGCAGTGCAAAACAAAAAAATACAAGTGGACATCGACGTCGACCTGGGAGCTATTTGAAAGTTGTTGCCGGGTATACCTCTTTGGGAAAATATGTTACTGAAAAATGTATTAATAGATTTGTGCGTCTTGTTTTTCTCTTTGTCTCATTTCCCACAGGCCGGCGCGCAACGATGTGCCCTCTATGTATATTGAGGAGGACGAGCTAAACGAGCTGGAGGAGGGCGGCGGTCGGGCAGCAGAGATACGTGCCCGAATCACGCCTGCCACCTCGCATCTCTGCCACGGCGCTGGACCCATGGGCGGCACCGGTGGCGGCAGCGGCGTTGGCGGCGGCATTGTCGGCGTCGGCGGACCACATCATTACATCTCCGAGAGCTTCATCCAGTACGCGCAGCCCAGTCTAAACGGTACTATTCCAAAATCTATACTCAACAAACTGTAGCCAGTAGCTGTAGCCGTAATCTAGTCATGTACCCATCTAGACTCCTTCTAGAATTATAATTTATGTATATCGTAATTAGCTCTCTTTTGCATCCACTTGGTTTGCTCTTTACCTCTTGAGTTCTGTTTGACATCGCACTTTATAATTAGTTGTATTTCTAGCTTTAATTGATTGATTGCTGCAATTTAATTAAGCTATTTCGAATTCTCAATGCTGATACTGTAAATACTTTCTAGATATTCATGCACTCGAATCGCCTGTGCAAATACATTTTAATATTAATATTATGAGTATGTTTTGAAGCCTATGTTTATGTTTATTAGTTAAATATCTCGGGCCAAAGCAATCGAAGAGAAATCAAATTAATAAAATGCCAATGCGACTGAAAATTCGGTCAACCAACAAATTTATCTATTCGATTCGATTTTATTTCTAATAGTTTCCAAAATAAATTTTAATAGCTTCGAGTGCATGTGAGTTTACATTTAATTAGCTGTAAATTGACTGAAATGGGCCAAAAGCGCTTCTGTATATTATTTGTGGTTAACATTGCGCACTTGTTCCATTTCCACATTGCACATTTTCACACGCACACACACACATATACGCTCACCTACTCATTTACACACACTTCAATTATAATTTTAAGGCTGTTGGCAGTTAGTACTGCAACCAAACTGACATAATAATATATTTGTGTTTGAAATTCCATTTGTTAAGTAGCTTATGACATGGTACTCTCATATTAGTGCACATCGAAACAAAGTAAAGTTTTTATTTCAATCGAATCATTTAACATGTTCAACATTGTAGAGCAGCACACACCCACCCACTATGTACTTATATTGTAGCTGGTCCAGGGCCCTTCGACTGTATTTAGAAATAGCTCTCTTCAAACTTCCCTTCTGTTAAGAAGCGCATTCAAACTAACTCTCCCTCTTAACGCTCTACCCACTTTGCTCGCTCTCTCTCTATGTACCTGTCCTGTTGGCCGTTCCTTACTCATCACCAAAAAACATAGTTGAGTTTTAGACTTGAGTTGGGTTTAAATACCTTGAACAATACTTAAAAAGCAACGTAGTGCACAGACTCTTTCGTAAAATTACAAATTTCACTAAACTTCTAACTACTACTACTTCCCCGTCTACCCCCATCCACCGCTATCTGTGTCACCACTAACGATGCATTCAAACCCTGTTACCGCTAACCCATCCTAGGCGACGTGCTGCTACCTTTGCTTGTTACTGCCAGCCAGCCGACTAGCCGCTACCACCGAGCAGCTGCCCCACTTCACTCGGCCACAATGTCGGACGTGGTCGTGGCCATGTGCCACCCGGCTGCCGCAAAGCTCTGTGCAACTGCTGCCGATGCAGCCGCCTGGCCGCCTGAATGTATGCAAACTGAATTTTATATAACAAAATCTGTGCAGAAACCCGAAAAGCAAGAACCGTAGCATAGAAACAAAAACAATTACTACAACACACATACTTCAAACTTCAACAAGAGCAACAGATTGGGTTTTGGCTATAGCTGGCTTTCCGGGTCCACTCATGCGGTCCTGCACTTTGCACCTGCACACGACGTCGCTCATCAAGTTTTGAATAAATCAAAAGATTTCTCAAAAATACCTTTGAATATCAAAGTTCACATAAAAGCACAACAGCAGCTTGATTTCACAATTCCATCTCCATCCACTTTTGCACAGTCTATTCGAAAAGGAGACAGAGGATCAAGGTCATACGGTTGATATGCATAACGAATTGAAGACATATTGCGATAATAAATCATTGAATATCTTAAGACTAGATGGAACACAATCTAATTTTTATTTGCACCCAGCACAGAGCATTTTGAAGTCGCATTGCAGTTTTTGTGGCCTAAAGTTTTCGATTTCTCTGTGTCTTTTGCTGACGATTTTGTCTTTGGCATTTTGCCTTTATTGCTCAAATTGCACTACAAAGCCACAAATTTCTTTTAATTGTGGGTATTTTGGCAATTGTTGTCGGTATTCCAGTTGCCAAAGAGGAGCCGTAATTGGTGCAGCAGTTGCGACAGCATCGCTACGTATCTTTGTGGAAGATGTGGACTAAAAAATTCGAAAATAAAATTTTTTTAACCTTTTCTATGGCGCACATTGGGGGCAGTTATTTGGTCTTGTTCTCCGACAATCAGGGGCTATATTAAGCACTTTTCAAACAATAAAAGGATGGACATTGAAACACAGCCAATGGATGGGACAAGACTTAGCATAAACCTACTGAAGAGTTCTCTTTAAATGACGTTTGTAAAACATTTTTATGTCAAGTCGTATAGTTGGCCAAGCCAATGCAAATGACAATAAGAAAACAACAAGTGACAGGACAATAGCGCACTCACATGTTATATATTGTATTTTAAAAGGACAAATGCAGCAGGCAACAGGCAGCAGGCTGCTGCATAGCTGACTGCAAAGCTACTGTAGGACCCTACAGCTCGTCTCCAAGCACATTTCCCTCACAAAGGCCAAAGCTGCACAAGCACTTGAAACTTTGTTCGGATTTATAGTGGAATATTGAAATACTTAGCATTGTTTTCCTATGAGCTGCTAAGGGAAAAAACATATAAATAAATATTTCGACTCTAGAAACCAAAATTGCAAATATTGAAAATGGAAATACCTTCAAAAATTTCACAAAATCTCTACAAGAGACAACTGAAGACTTAAGATTTTTTGATACATCCTGTTTTTTGTCTTAGTTATGACACTACAAAATCTTCTTTCTACTTTTTATGCCAATGTTTCAGCATTTTTTGTATCTGAGCATCCACTGTGCCTGGCTTTATCGACTGAGGTCGTTATGTAGTCAGTATATTGGTATTTGTATCTGCTTCCGTGTGTAAGTGTGTGCGTCGGCAAAGTCCTTTGGACATGTTGCATACGAGCAACTAGCAAAGTTATATGCAAATACTTGTTCATATCTAGTGCTCGTATTTTGCACGCTCGAAGAGTGCAGCGAACAAATTTGCAGAATATGTTGCTCGCTCTGTTTATTTTGCGAGCCCTTGTATACTTTGTTTTACTTTGAATTGCATAAATTTCAATTATATATTGCAAAAGCACTAAATTAAAAGGCACAAATATGCGCAGATGTACGCGCTCATACACACACACAAATACAGGCACACAAACACACAGAGGCACTCACACAGTCACATACATGCCAGTATGTCAACATGGCAAATACAAATATTATTTAATGGGCAGCTGTGACGTATACGTGATATTATTTTTAATTTAATATCCAGGAGCCCTTCGGCGCCCACACCGCACCACACGCAAAACTCACAAATTAGCCACATTTGATTTTGTCAACGATTTAATTTGCTGCTTTTTTGTGCTTTCTCCTTATTATATTCGTTTTTCATAAATTTTGATGCTCCGCATGCCCGACAACTTTTAATTTATAGCCGCCCCAGGCTGGCAGCTGCGACATGCCACGGCACCTCTTACATTTGACTGTCAAGCGTTCGCTGCTGCAAGCGTATTTGCCAAGCCCTCTTATACAGACGTAAAACAAGTTGACTTCTTCTTGCTTACAAGACACTAACAAGTGCCAAAGTCAGACTGAGCTGCGCAAGGCCTGAGCGAATAATGCTGAAACTGTTTAAAGTTGCTCCTGATGTAAATACCCTACAGCTAAAACTGACGCAATTGCGAAGTCAGAGTATTTCTTATTAAACTTTCAATGGCTTTAGATGTACAACTTGTTGTCCAGTAACAAAATGAATATGGGATGACATGAAAGATATGTAAGCAAGCAAACATCTAACTATGAGACCTTTCTCTGTCTGGATTATAATGGATCCATGTCTGTTAACTAATTTCACATTATAAATTTCTTTAATACTCGATTCTCTTCGCCTTGATATTCAGTTCTTTTTCTTCTTACAACTCTTACGTGTACATTGCAGTTACTTTAGTTGAAGATGATCATCGCCCTTTAATTATCAGTTGGCTACTCACCTGCCAAGCCTCTGCTAAGCACATATGTACTCTGACGGTCCGTAGTGCATATCGCAGACTCAGACTCAAAGATAGCACTTAGAGCGCACTAATTCAAGTGAGGAAAGTGAGCTACTCATATGTGTATCTGCATGTGTGTGTGTGTGTGTGTGTGTAAATGGTACATAGCCCCATGGCTGTCAGCGCTCACCGACTGCTGCTGTTGTCATTAGCCAACATTTTTAATTGCATACGGTCCCGCTAGGTGGCGCACAGGTCGCAAATTGAATGAGAGGTGGGCCAGCTGATGCGCCGCTGCGGGGGCTGCTTGGGTGAGTTAAGCGCGTGTTTTCTACATATTCAGCGAACCTCTAGCGCAGGCAAATACGTTTGACTTTTTCAGCTGACATACACTGTTGTGCCACTGTGTGTGTATATAAGTGTTTGTATTTGCTTATGCTTTTTTGTGCGCATTTGTTTCATTTCATGCTGCAACATTCATTTTGCTCGACATTCTGTCTTATGGTTCTTGTTGTAGTTGTTGTTGGCGCTGCTTCAGTCGACGTTTGTTTTGTTTGTCATGAGTCGCCCCGCCAACTGGGTAACATTTGCGTAGCTGTCCTTGAGCCTTTGCTTTTTGCACCAGCTGCCGCACAGTCACAAAGAGAGAAAGAGAAGCAGACATGTGTGTGTCTCGCTTTTGGGTTCTTGTACACTTCACTGGCACTCGTCTAATTAGACAATGTTGAGACTGGGCCCGCAGTGGCATCCAGTGAAATAGATGCTTAGTCAACTCGACTAAGAGTCATCATTTGTTGCGGCGTTGCTCGCTTAAAGACGCCTTAAAGTATGCTGTAAAAGCGGTGCCTGCTTTAGATGCCTTGGGCGTTGGGGCATCAACTTTGATGTCTATGGGCCAGCCACACGAGCTGCCACACAATTTGCTTTGGCAACATTGTTGATGCGGCCTATGCTGCCACACGCACTCGCACAGCCGGGCAGGCAGGGTTACTCTGTGCCATTTCAATGTCAACGCTCATTCATTTGTCGCCGCACTTCCGCTCCGCTTGCCCTATTTGCCTGTGAGTCCCAGAGATGGCAACATTTTTGCAACTTTTGACATTTTTAATGCTGCCAGGCATGGCGTGAAAGTAAACGTGAAAGGCCACACACACACATACACACATACACACAGGGGCACAGGCACACACATATATATGTATACAAAGTGTGACGCCATTTGAAGGCTGCTTTAGTTTGTGCGTCTTTATGGCTCAAAGACGCCGCACAAATGTGACATAAAAGGCGATAATAATAAAATATAACACAGGGCGCTGTGACAGTACGAGCCTCAAATAACAAACTGCAAAATCGTAAACAACGTTGCCAACGTCCAACAGCCAACGCTAGATGGCGCTTCAGTTTCACTTGACCCAAACTCAAACTCAAACTAACTTAATGCGCGTGCGGGCAGCACAATAAAATGAAATCGGACATAAATGTGCGATAAAAATTAAGAAATTGTTGAATTATTTTATATTTACGAGCCAGCTGGTCGCATCGGCGGTGTTTTGAGGAAATATTAATATTTATATGCTGCTGCTGCTGTTGTCGTTGTTCTTGTTGTTGTTGTTGTTTTTGTTATTGTTTTTGTTTTGCTTTTTTGCTTGGTTGTTGCTCTTATCGGCGCACACTTGGTCACGCTTTTGATATTTGCTAATAGTTACGATATCTGTTTTTTCTTTTATATATTTTTCATTTGCTGCCAAAACAATTTGCAACTGTTATATGATGTCATTTTGCAAGTGCTGTAAATTTCAGCAAAGCAGAAAATAAAACCAAGCAATAATAATAATAATACTAGACACAATGAAACAAGCAAAACTAATCGGTAAACACGAATTGTGCTTTTGTTTTTCTTCCCACTCGCAACCATTTGACTCTCTCACTCACTCACATACACACTAATACTTGCGCATTGTTCACTCATAATTTTATCACACACACACACATACACATACACATACATCTATCTTGTTTTATGCCAACCAACCAAAGTGTATATTGCAGACCCAGATCTAATATTACCGCGCGGCGAATTGGAATTTACGACTCTGGATCCAACGTTGAAGTAATTGTAAAATGTAATAATATCTACCGCAGCACACACATAGCCACGCCCATAACCCCATACGCCCAGTCTGTGGCAATGCAAGGCGAAAGGAACTCGGCGACTTGAGACGTCGCGACGTATACAATAGGCAAAAGATAATTCATGGCCATCTTATTTTACATAGCTGTAAATTTTTAGCCTAAATTTAAATATATTAATGTCAAAGGTAAAAATACACACCTGTATGTGTGTGAGGTAAGCCCTTTTTTGTATAAGTGTCAGACAAAATGCAAACGAGAATTCAAAAATAAAAATAAACCAAAAACAAACAAAAAACCAAAGCGGCTATGCCACTCTTAAATACACTGCAATCTTGTAACTGAAATCAAAACATAAATATTGTAAATATTATTAAATACTCTAATACACAGCCACACACACTCACACATACACACCCACACACGCACATTTTTATACACAGACAACAATTAGAATAAAGCGATTGCAGCATGCGCCATCAAATGTATATAGATAAGGAGAGTCATGAATCAAACCGCATTTAAATGTTAAATACTAAATGTAATTATAATAAGTAATTCAGTTATTTAACTAGTTATAAGGCCAGGCTTAGTCGCTTAGGCCAATTGCGTGCGTGTGTGTGTGCATTTCAAATATTCAAATTGTAATTAAACTCAAAGAGCAAAGCTAAAAGTCAAAAAGCAAAAACGAGAAGCAGACGAGAGCCAAAAGTCAAATAAAATCTCATCAAAATTAAGTAAGCATTTAGCTAAGTACTCAACATATGCTAAGGTTAAATGGGCAATTTATGAAATGTTTATCAGAGAATATTCAAGTTGCCGATCTCGAGACTTGCGGCATTACAAATAGCCCAAAGTTGCTCACATTTGCATGCAATTTGAATTTATTAGCCACTTATGAATGTTATGTACTCGTAATTCGACAGCCAGATCAAGAATTTATAGCAACAAAATCAATATCGAAATCGTTAAACATTAAACGTCAGCCCGCAGCATCGACTCAAAAAATTTAACGCATTCTCTTTGGCGTGGCCAATGGGAATTTCCTTTAAATTTCATTCCCGATTCCTGTGCAACTTCAATGAAGACTGTCGAACTGGCTGGAACTGGAATTATTGCACAGCGGGCACGAGTTTTCCATATACATATATAGAGGCTGCTGTTAACTATATACATATATTTATATATATATAAATATATATAAATTCATGAATATTCTATTACCATAACAAAGGCAGGCCGAAAATAAAGTGAGCGAAAACTTCGAGTGCATAATGAATAAATGTTAAATAAATTACAGACTTACAAGCCAGCGCAGCCACAAATTTAACTCAAATTCCACCAACAACAAGAGCAGAATGCAGCAACAACTAACGTTGGCAGATAAATAGCAACTACAACAAACTACAATAATACAAATTAATTCATTGTATGTAAATGTTATAAATAACTAAAGTAATCGACTAAAATACATAAAATTTAAATACAGCTGAATTCATGCAAACAGTTATACATACATTTGTGTATTTAGATGTGAATGTGAATGTGAATGTGAATATCAAATATGCAAAGCAAAATGGCAGACTAGCAAAATATACACTGCGTATGCATAATAAAATGAATTAAAATTATACCACATAGATCAAAAGTGAAGTGGGACGAGGGGCGGGACTCGAGGCGTGTCGAGGCCCTGAATATCCTTTTACTTGCCATGCATTTAGCAACGGTCTCTCTGCATCCCTCTCTCACTTAGCTACCCTAAACTCTCTCTGTCTTTCTCTGAAGATATTACAAAACTAAACTGATTATTTTTAAGATGAGGTTAGTTCTACAGAAAATATAAATTTAAATTAAATGGTAAATGGTAAATATATTTTACAATTAAGCCGAAACTACTGAGTGTGTTAATAATATAAATGGATACTTAATAAACTGAATTAAAAAACAAGAAAACAGAAGACTGCAAATCTTTCATTCAAGTCAATTGCAATTAGCCACTTTCAGGCCAACATCAAAGTGCAAATTGATGGCAAACGTGGCCGAGCAGCCAGCTGGTTAAGTGATATTAATACTCCGAAAATCCTTTTAAACAGCGATGCCACAGGACTTGCACAAACTTTAGCACTTGCTCCCATTAACTTTAGTCGCAAGTGCATCCATCGGTCAGCTCAGCTCCTCTGAGTTCCTCTGGACTCCTCCGGCAGCCCGCGGCAAGTAATCGAAACAGCACAAAGGCGGTCAGCTTAGTCGGCCTTCATTAATTTGCACGGTAAGTTGGCCAGCAGCTTCACTTGAATGGCTTGCAACTTGGCTTGCTTTCGAGATTAAAACACTTGGCAGCACATTCCCACCGAAGGAGTCAATGAAATTTGAGCCCAACTCTCCCTGCAAACTTTTCAACTGCAGTTTGCACAATTTAATACCAGTTTGCCAAATTGCATTGCATATTTTCTTTTCAGACACAACTTTTGCGCTCGGGGCCAGTTCAATAGGTTGCCCAGAAGCATTAATATAAATACTTGAGCTGCAATTAAGTAACAGCCTTGGATGCTTATTGGATGAAGGAAAATCTTTAGTAAATATAATTAAACGTGTTTGCTAATCTCTAGAAATGGAAGAGGGATGAAAACAGATAACCACAATGAGAATCTAAAGAGCACATAACGATGCTTGAATTAGCCTTTTAACGTGATCGCAAATCATATCATATTATTTAGTACTAAAATATATTTAATTTTCTTCAATCTTTGAAGTTCTAAATTGTTGAAGTCTTACAATTATTGAATATGGCTTAAATCGTGCTTCTACTCCGTTAGTGAATGAAAAGAGTTTGCGGAGCTTATGCAATATCTATGCAAAGACTAGAATACAAGAGACTTGAATATTTGAAATATATCTGGAAATACTTTTCTCTAGGCGGCTTTATTGAGAGGAAGCTGACTGCAGTGGACGAAATTTCCATGGGGATAAATATTTAACTATGAACATGATATTGACGGCCAACTCCTGACGTAGTCAATTAACTACAGACGAGCATTGGGTCCTTTTCCGACCATTCCCAAAATCAGCCCGACCGAGTATATGGAAACCATTGTAATAGACATAAGTTATTAATATTATTATTACTATTCTTATTACTTTTATTATTATTTCAGCATAAAGCTTCATCTCTCTTGTATCTCAAGCAGCACTTTTGAATGTATATGTGTATGTTACACATGTAAAGTTTCAAAACTTTTCTGCTACCTTATGCTGCAGCTCATACCTTTATTAGCCGCATATTCAATATATATAATTAATGTAAATTTAAACAATAAAACATTATAGAGCTTATGAATAAGAAGATCAATTAACAAGCAATCGACGCTGCCTGCCATTTATTATAAAAAATCTGTAAATAGCACTTTGTTCAGCTGCATTAAAAATAAGCGAAATATTTCAGATGATTTTAATTAATAAATAATAATTCATAATTCACTCATATTTTATACATGTATCAAATTTCGTGGTCTAAATTTTCTCATTGTTGTTGGCTTATTTGTTACATTTTTGCACGTCGAATGCAGCTGCAGATTTCCGTCTTTGTTAGCGCAACGAAAGAGAGAATGAGTGAGAGGAGCAAAAACTAATGCCATATAAATCCAGGGATTTTGGCGTAAGTGCGTAATGTCGAATGTCGCCGTTGCAGGCGCGAACTGAAGTAGGTTTTGTGGGCCATTCGCTGACCAGTTGCTTGCGTGTCCTTCGGTGACAGGCCGTGCTTAAACGTAAAGCTGATGGACGAATTGGACGACGGTTAGCTGGCCTAATCTTAAAGCATTTAGCATACACAAAGGCCTACTTAGCCAGGACATAACTGTTGAAATATTAATGTCATGGCTAAATGGCGGCTAGGCGGCAGTTGCTGCCGGCTTAGCACTCACTTAGTCGGGCGAACATCTGCCGCTGGGGACTGGTCGAACATGCCATTTCCATTGCAGTGCTGCAATAATTGAGTTCTCTTGTTGGCAAAACCTTTAAAAGAGTTGTAACCGACTTCAGTGTCCGCTCACACCGCACAGCGCTCAGCATACATGACAGCCACAACAATCACAATTCCAATCAGCTCCACATCAATGTCTGCTCCTGCCGAGACTACGAGTGTATTGCCAGGTAGGCACCATGAGCCAGGCGCAGCTTAAATTTGTCGGGCCACAAACGCTGTCGAGGCTTGCAGCGCCTGCAGTTATGCCAAACATCCTATAAAAGACTTTCGTTTCCTTTTTGTGTTTTTTGTTTTCTGAAGGGCTGCCAGTCAGTCAGTGGATGAAGCGGGGCTGTCATGTTCTGCCAGGTGCTTGCTTGCTAAGGGAGCAATCAGCTCAAGCGACGAGTTGCTCCGCAAATCTATGCCAAGGACATGACAGGCAAAATTGTTTTGGCGGTCGCTTATTGTGTTGTGCGCCTCTTGCGCACTTTGTGAATGTGTGGGAGTGTGTGTATGTATGTGTGTACCCATGTGTGTGTGTGCAATAAAAAAACATGCTTCAATTTAGACATTTTCAACTTTTATTTGCAACAGCTGCCTTAAATCTAAATGTAAACTCTTTAAAAGGACAAGGCCATCAGCTTTTTATTATATATATTTGTTTATTTATTTTCCTGACAAGCGAATGTATTCATTTTTTTTTGCCCTCTTTGGTGTAGCGTTTGTTGCCTAACACAATTTGCAAATCTGAACTTTTTACGCTGAAAGCAATTATTATCCATTTACAATGCACCCAATGCAAAGTGGATGCAGACACAGCAATTGCAGGAGTCAAGTGAACGACGTGAAAATACCTGCACCCAGCGAATAAAGCTGTTGATGTCTGTATTATCAGATTTTAATAGAGCGACACTTGAAGTCATTGGAAGTGCTGATCCTATCTATATCTAATTCTACTGAAGCTTTCAGCGCTGTCCTTAACTGTGCAATCAGCTCTACTCTACTTTAGCGTATGGAAAGTGTATACGAAGGCAAACAGCTTGAATGGGACGCGCAAGCAGACAAGTAAATAAAATTCGAAGTAAAGTAAAAAATGTTGGAATGCCAAAGAAATGCACGGTACATATTTTACATTTATTCATTCATCGCTGCTGTTGCTTTTAAGCAACGGGCGGAGCAGCAAGCGAGGCGAGCCACGGCTGTGTGTAGACTCCTCATGTTCGCTGCTGCTGCTGCTGCTGTTGCTGTTGTGCTGGTAAGCCGAGCGTTAATAACAACGCTTATCTGTGGCATTAGCAGCGTACACAGCAATAGCAATAGCAACGGCAACAGCAACGGCTAAAAAAAATACGATGATAATGAAAAACTGAAATAAAAGCGCAACAACAGCCGTACAGCAAACAAAACAGAACAAAACTGAAAAGCAGGAGGGGCGATGGCAGTGCAAAGGGGGCGTTTGGGGGCTGACTGTATAAGTAATTCAAGCTGCTGTTGCCGCGGACGCTGCTGGCGTGACAACGTCAACTGACAGTCGCAGCAGAGCGCATAGCGCACAGCACAGCACAGCGCAGCGCCATCATCCATTATCAGCAGTTGGCCATCTTAAAGTGCAGCAAAGCAGCAAAAACAACTCAGGAAGCGAGCGGAGGACACAAACAAAACCAAAGGCAGCAAGCGCAACAACAGCAACAAAAGGCACAAACAAAAAGCCAACATACAAAAACAGTTGGACAACGGGCGGTCACAAAACAAAAAACAAAAACAAAAAAAAAATCAGATAAAAAAAAAAAACAAAAAAAAATGAATAAAAAGCGAGCAGCAGAAATGTCGCATTGTTTTAATGCATTTGGCGCAGCGCCGCTGATGCTGTTGCTGATGCTGATGCTGATTCTGATGTTTGATGCGTGTTGCTTGCTGCTGTAGCGGCGGAGCTCACACTGCATATGGGTAATATAGCGTCAGACCACAGATGCCAACGCCCGCGGCTGAGGCTGTGTCACATTACGTATACGCCGCATGCTACATGGCATTCGGGTCGCTGGCAGCGCAGCTTGATTGCTGTTGTTTTTGCTGCTGTTGCTGCTGTTGCTGTTGTTGTTGGTGGTGGTTCGGTTTATGCGCCTCGCTAGTAGCAAACTGCCCGGGAGAATCCTTAACTGTGAACGTCACATAGTAGCGTTTATTGCTGTCCAACTTATTCGCTGGCAGTGAAATTAGTTGTTTGCTCTTTCCGTGTGACAGCTCCAGAGCAACTTTGTGGCTGCATTTGCCGCTGCCGCCAAAGCCGACATCGACGCCGACGCCAACATCCATGCCAGCTCCAACTCGACCGCTGGAGGCGCGTCCACTGGTCAGAATTTTTGGCAAATAAAAACTGCTAACGCTGCCGGCCTTTTTGTACTGTCCAAAGCCAAACTTGGGCATCGTGTGGTGATTCATCATTGGAACTGGCAGATAACGCAAAAACGGAAGGCAAACAGACAGAGGGAGAGAGAGAGAGAGAGAGAGTTAGTCGAGTGAAGCGTTAGATTAATGATCTGCTGCGATCAGCCTAATTAAGTGGATGCCATTTTTATGAGCGCTTTCGAAATGAATTGCAGCTGCCAGCGTCAACTGGACAGCTGGCTGCATTCCATTCCGGCCTTTACAGCTCGGTGCCCGGGGCAGATATGTGTCAGGTGACAGCAGCAAGGACACTCTGCGAAATTGCATTCAACGCAAAAAGCGTAATAAGAAAATGAAGCCAAACGCGCAAACATTTCAACTAGAATTCGGAATGTCAATTGCCATGAAGATGTTACATAAGCTCGCCCGACCCCGTCGCTCGAATCCCATTTGTGCGGATTACGCGGAATTGGTGTTGACCGGCTCTCAGGCGCTTACTGGGCGCTAAAATAAGTGTATACACATAAACAGAGTACAGAGTACTCGAGGCAGCTGCGCAATGAATGCGTTTTTAATTTGGCATAAGCCGGACGCATCCTTTAGCCCAAGTCAGCGTGGGCGTCCGTGTTCACGTCGCATAGAAGTTATTACGAAAAAAGTTGAAAAGGCGGAACGCGGATAGCGAAAAGGGGCAAAGCAAAAGGAAGATTTTTAATTTGCCCGGCGCCTGGCGCTTGGCGCTTGGCTGCTCGGCCAAATGAATAAACTGCTCGTAATTAGGATTTATTTTGTAGCCAGGCGCGTTTGACGCCCACGAGCGGTGCCCATTCTTAGGTTGCCATTTGAGTGTTGGCCATCCGCTTGACCCACTCAAAAGGCAGCAAAACTGTAACAGCTCGTGGCCAAGTGATTCGCCTGACCGGAAGCCCGGCTGACAGTCCGACTGTCCGCCTGCCAGAGAGCCTGCTTGGCTGGTGTCATTTTTCACGCTTTTTAAGAAATGCTTAGGGACCTAAGCCCTCTGCGCTTGGCTCTCAACATGGACTTACTGTAGGCGGCGCAGGGTATGCCCGTATAGGCGTGGGCCGCATGAAGGCAGCGATGCGTCTTGGTGGTGCAGTGCAGCGCCTTTTCGTAAGCATTGTAGTCGGGGCTCAGGCGACGCTCTGCCTGCAAGTGAACGAATCGTTTGAGTATACAAATACATACATATCTATATGTGCTGAGCCACTTACCTCCTCGTAGACCTCATTGATGTTCTGGAAGTTGTTGGTGCCCGGCTTTTGCAGTCCCTTCAGCGTCTCGTAGAGAAATAACTCAAAATTCTTGAACGTATACTCGCTGAAATTGTAACGCCTGAGCCTTGTCCCAGTTTCGCCGCCCAGCAGCACGCACGATTTGTGATAGTCGTCAACGGCACGCTTCACTAGCACCGCCTCGTTGAGCTTGTTTGAACGTATTTGCAGCGACTTGAGCTCCAGCAGATGCTGAAAGATCTTGCGCTCCATGTAGTATCTGCAAACAGAAGTACAAAGGCATTAAAATATGGTTGTGCATGAGACGCGATGGCAACTAGACCCAGAAAAGCGCAGCATTGTCCACATTCCCATCGCCTGCGCCCCGCTGCCCATCTGAGCCTCATCACAGACTTTGTCAGCGTAGCGTAGCGCATAAAATAAATGTTTGCAAATGTACGTAAATTGTCATTTTGATATTTCGCTAGCCAAACAAAGGCCGCGCCTGCTGTGCCTTTGCCTGCGCCTGACATAGGTGCCGGCCCCAAAATGGCCCCCGAACCCCCCAGCAGGACGGCGCAAACACAATGCGCACAATCCGCGAACGCAATAAAAGGCATCGTGTTATTAAAATTTCAGAAATACTAAAGTGCGTAAGCAGAAAAAAATTCTATTAATAATTGAGAGGGCACACATAAAAGGGAGCGAAACGAGTCGGAATTAAAGCCAGCCGAAGCCGAAGTCGTGGCATAAAAAATTATTGACAAATTTTATTAAAACTAAGCAAATTTTCGAATAATGAAGCCGTTGTGCCTTGGCAGGCTGCCTGACGGCCTGGCTGCCTAGCTGTGCTTCAAGAACTCGCCACCCTCCGCCTGTGGGGGCACTTGAAACTTTGCAAATCAACCGCCGCGGCGTTGAGGCTTTTGGCAGCGACCCCGGGCAAATGCATTTGCCCAAAAACTGAGCAAATTTGTCGAGTGCACTCAGCACAGCGCAACGTTGAGCAGCGTACTAAGCTTGTTTATGCATTGAGTCGCACGGGCCACGCCGGCTGGGCTGTTAGGGCCGGCACGAATTGGCTGGCAATTTATGCAGTTGCCGCTTGACACTGCTCGCCACTTGGCTGCACTACAAAATTATGCGAAACAATTTCGACGGCGCAACAAAAACGTTGACGGGCTGAAAATCCTCGGGCCAAACGATTGGGCAGGTATGAGTGCTGCTTCTGCCCGCTCTAAGCCAAAGTGGTCATTGGCAAGCAAAAACTGCGTAACAAATTGCCACTTCAAGTAGCACGAAAAGCCGCTGCGAGCGGCAATGATGAAATCTGCGCTCGGCCAGCGCCTGATCTGCTCCATTGCCGGCCACAACAGGCCACAGCTACTTGGTCATTCTTCTGGCATTTATTTAGCCGCCGCAGCCATCTTCATCTTCGTCTGCAAGTGGAGTGCAGCCTCAATGCTGCTTGTTTGCCGCAGCGCTTTTCAATTTTACGCCTCGCTTTGGCTTCACTCAGCTGTGCCTCGATTCCTTGCCCGAGTTTCCTTTGCTAAACTATTTGTACCTCACACTCCTAAGTTGGCTAACGCTCGCTGCTTTTTTTCCAGTGCACATAGTTTGCGCTTCAGTGTCCTTGGCATATTTTTGTGTTTTTTTTGCCGTTGGTTTCAGTGTTGCTGCTGCTGCCGCTGTTGCTGCTGCTGCTGATTTCCGTTTCCGTTTTACGTTCGCTTAGCACAACTTTCATTGCATTTTCTTGTGCGCGTCGCTTTTGTGTGCTACATTTTTTAGTGACCGACTCACTGTCACGCCCACGCCGCCCTCCCGCCTTCTGCATTCAGCCACCCCACCGCCAACGGCATCCTGTTTGTGACACAAATGTGACAAGCAAAAAGTGGATGGAGTGAAAACACGGCCCACGGGGACCTGGCACGAGCTAGAGAGCGCAGCATGGGATGCTGGCGACTGTTGACAACGGCAGTGACAACGAAATCCAAAGAAATTAAGCGCTCCACGAACTGCACTGGCAGCAGTAACAACAACAAATTTGTACCCACCGGCAATTTGGTATGCAGAAAAGAAAAACAGAATGAAAAGGAAAACAAAGCAAAAGCAAACAGAAGTGCAAATCTTCACTTGCCATTTGCGAGCTGACATATGCGCAGCTTGACGCATAGTGTATTTGACCAAGGCAAACACACTTTTTGCCACTAAATTGGTGAAAATCCATTCATGCCCGAGTCTATGGGGCAGCTTCCCAAATAAGCGGCACAGAGCTCTGCGAAAGCTCTTTCGTCTGCGGATTTGGTTTTTGAAAGAGGCAAAACGGCAAACTTTCTCGCCTCATTTTTCATTGGAGCCTAAGTTTTTTAGGCTTGTGCTCAAAAGTTTGAAGTGCTACGCACATCCCCAGAGAGGCAACTTCATGGGAAGGAGAACTGCCCAACACTGCCTCAAAGTGTGGCACAGTCGACGCTCGGCAACTGAAACTCTTTGGTTTCGTTACTAATTGAAAATGGCTGAAAATCACAAAATGTAAATGAATTCAGTCCAAATATTAAAACCAATCTACAGACTGAACACTTTAATAAAAATATGTTAAAATGTTTACTATAAATTTCAGTTCAATTGCCAGTTCAAAAATGAATTTAATAACTTTTTTTAAACGAAAATAATTAAATCTGCTAAACTCTAACGTATTATTCGCAAGGACAAACAAAGAGTCAGGGCAAAAGTAAATATAAAATGTTTATAAACACATATAAAAATGAAGTAGAGGCGAAAGTTCGACCAAGTGTTGGCAAAACGTAATCCAAATATTTAACAATGTCAATTACGTGAGCGCACATTATAAATCCCAAATCTCACCTGTGCTGTTGTAACACGCTCGCAGGCTGAGCGGCAAAACATGCACACATACACACACACACTCACACCGATATATGTACGCACTGCTGGCAAGTTATTTGTTTAATTTATGCGTCAGATAAAATTTTAATCTCTCCGGAGCCAAAACGAAAAAAATAAAGTTCGCAGTACACAAAAAGCAGCAGAAAATGAAAATAAAAATAAAAAATAAAATCAAAAGCAAAAGCAAAAATAACAACAAACACGCGACTGACATAAATAAAATTCTCTATTTACACACTTTTCATGGCGTTAGCATCGCTGCTAGCAAAACTGTCCGCCAGTCCGAGCCAAACCTGCAGCTAGCCGAGCGTATTCTACTGGGTGCTTTGGATTTGCCGCTGCCAGCGTCGCTCCCCGAGTGGATTTCGTTGGATTTTTATGTATTTTACAAGAATTAATTGACTCACACTGCCGACTTGTTAAAAATTTCGTTATTCGTGGTAAGCAAGACGACTCTTGTTTGACTTGGCGAACATTGCGTATACGCCGCGTAATATTTGCATTGGGCTTCCCCTAGCCCTTCGCCGTGCGCAAACGGAAAAGTTACTTTCAGTTCGGCTTATGCAAACCGTACAAGCGAACCGCGTAAATATTTTCATAAGTCAAGTGGAAAATATTATATATTTATGAAATGCGTTTTCTTCTACACTTGCGCCGAGCGCCGAGAAATTTATTCATAGGCAACGGCAGCAGATTATGGAAATTAATAAGAGAGTGATTACTTTAATTCAATTAAGCTTCTCGATTCGGTTCCTGTGCCCCATGCAAATGGCAAAATCACAATTGCTTTTACAATTGACATTTCGCCCGAAACACAAAACAAAATAGAATTGCGTAAACTGAAACAGAAATACCGTCGTGGGAAAGCCACAGGTTTCAAGTTAATTACATGTAGCCAAGTACGCATCGACATTTTAATCCTTTCGCCATTAGGATTTCCAGAACAAGGTCGCCAACGGCAGCAGTTGAGCGAAATTCCGAGCTTGCTCTGCCTTGCTGTGTTTGTGCCTGTTTGCGCCTTAAAAATTCGCCCGCTAATCTGCGTTAATTCCACTTACAATTAACATTAGCGTCTTGTAAATGAAAGCGCCGTCTTTGCCAGCCGACTGCAGGGCCAGTTCTATTTTCATATTTTGCATAAACAAAGCGCTCGCCGCAGGTGGGCGTTGTCCGCCTACGCCTCAGCGGTGGGTCGGTTGGCTTGTTAGCGTCGCCACCTAATTAAAATGCGCAACTCTTTGCCGGAAATGAGCATTTCAGCTAATGACAAGAGCCTGGGGCAACCGAGATTTCCAGCCGTTCGTATAAATTTAAATAAATCAACAGTAACTAAGGTTACGAAATGCTTTATACTCTATCAAAAGCAACTTGTGAGCAAACAGAAAATGGAAATTTGATCAAAATAAATCTGAATCAGCTGCAGTTCATAGCTAACAAGCGGGACTGGCTCTAGTAAATGTATATAATCATATATCAACTCTTAGACAGAGACAGAGAGTTGCACTTCCAGCTTGAACAGCCGAGTCCTCTTGTTACTGTTATTATATATTACATAGTATATTATTATATAGTATAAGCTCCAGTCGCTCGATTGTTTGGCAACTCGCCTAGAGCATTCCTAACCACTAACAACCAACAGCTAAATATATTTCTCTATTGCAGTGAACGGAGTATATATATTTTGTGTAATATCTGTGCGCAGCGACTTCAATTGTAGTCGCATTAATATCAATTGCAATTATCGATAATTTAATTTTTAAAGTGATCGAGAAATGTAATCAAAGCAAATAGATTTAATTATAAAATACATGAAAAACACTTGTCAAACAATAAGAGCGAATTGCTACACACCACAATGAAAGGTTTTTTTCACACACACATACAGAGCCGTACACATACATGCATACATGGCCATGCAGGACGGCGTGATAATGAGCAGCACTTGTTACAATTACTGTTTAATCTATTGTGGTCGTGGGGTCATCGTTAATACCCGTGTACATGGCGAATGGACATTAATACCGCGTTTATTGCCTTTAACCGCATTATGATAACTTTAAAGCGCGCTTTTTATGGCAACCGGAAGCTGGGCAATTTATTTGTTGGCCTGGACAACAATGGCAGCGGCAGCTACGTTAAAAAATGAGAAACGTTTCCAAGGCTATTAAGTGCCCAACTAAATTAACTTTAAGGCGCCCCGACTGAGTCTGCTACGTTGAGTGAAGCGGCCGCCACTTTGATTACATTAAATGGACGGCGACTGCGGCCGCCCAGGGCAGCGTGCGTGATATAATGCGAATCCGCGAGCCTGAGTGCCCGAGAGCCACAGAGCCTGCATGCTCCGCCAGTCTCAGCAGCGGGACATTCAAGTTGATTAAAATCAGGCATCAAGTAAATAAATCTACGGCCAAAAAGACGGCCCTCTGGCGGCGGCCAACAACTGCCTGGTGATTAATTTAAGTGAATGAATCTTGGCCACTGGCCATTTAAATTGTGACGAATCAGTTACTCGAAATCGGTACCGGGCACTCACCTGCGAATGTTGCGCTGGATGGAACGTGTTACGGCGCCCATTTCACAGGCGCCCTTGTCCCCGGGCTTGCGATTCTCCAGGCGACTGCTGCAGGAGCGTCCATCCAGTGTGGCATAGATGGGACGCCGTGGCATGGCCGTGTGGGCAGTGCGCGGCGTTGGTATCTTTGTGCGCTCCGCCCGTGGACTTGGCTCGAAGCCAGAGTCCTGATCCTTGCTGGCGGTAGCCAGCGCGACATTACTTTCCCGAGACTCCTGCGAATGCTTCCAGTTGCTGCGCGTCTTGGCACCGCTGCGTACGCGTTTTTTCAGCCGACGCTTGCGCCCGTTTGCCAGCCCATCATAGACCTCAGCGGCTGCTGTGGCGTCACTGGTGACGCCCATTTCGCCGCCAACTCCATGGCGACCACTGCTTAAAAACCGGCGCAGAGCACTGTCATGCTCCGGATCAATACCGTCGGCATCGTCCTCATCTGCGCCATCATCAAATTCCTCGTACTCATAGTCGGCCTTGTCCAGTTCTGATGCACTGGGCAGCTTGGAGCTGGCGGTGCCGTCGTGCACCACCTGAAAGACTTGATTGCTGCCGCTGTAGTTAACATCCTGCGGACGTGGCGTCTCCTCCAAATCGCCGATGGACTCATCGCTCTTAAGCACTTGAAAACTCGACTTGCGTACGGGCTCGTCTGAGGCAGGCGCGACAGCTCCCGCAGGCTCATCATCAGCTGAATCGGAGGGTAGCAGCGTAAAGGAGCGTCGAGATTCCTGTTCCCGTTGTGGCTGCTGTTCTTCGTGTTGCTGCTGCTGCTGCTGGCTCTGCGGACGTGGAGGCTGCGTGACTGGGGGCTTGGGCTGGGGATTTTCGAGCTCAGCCTGTGCTTGGGCAGACGTGGGGGGCGGAGACGCCTTTGTCTCACTTTTCGGCTCGGCCGCTATTTGTTCCAATTTTTTGCCAGCCTCTACTGCGGTCTTTGAGGGTGGCTCAGCTATATCCGACTGTGGCTGCTCGGCTGCCGGTGGCTTAGCAATTGGCTCAACAGCAACTGAAGGCACTGGGGTGCTGGCAGTGGGTGTTTCGGAAGGCTTTAAAGGAACTGTTTCTGTTGTCTCCGCATCGTGACTTGAACTATTATTGTCCGCTGGCCTATCATTCGATGACCCCACTGTCTCCTCGGCTTCCTTCACTGACGCTTCTTCAGTGGAGCTCTTTGACTCGCTGCTCAGCGCCGTTGCAGCTATTTTGATCATCTGCTCAACCTCGGTGGACACCAGTTTGGTATCCTCCTCGCTCAGCTGTTGCTTTGCATCGCCTGCATTAGCAGCTGCAGGCGCTGACTCTGCTGGCAGCTCATCAAGCGACTTCGACACTTGCAACTCTGCATCGTGGTGCACATCGACTTGGGTAGTCACCGACTTGACCGTTTCCGGCTCCTCATCCGTCAGCTCCATGGCATGACTTTCTGCCACTTTCAAGCTCTCCGGCTCGCCAGCTGCTGCCCTCTCGCTTTTGGCGCTCTGTGGAGGTGATTTGATGAACGTGCCCTCCTTAGCAGCCGTTGGTGTGGCTGGCTGCATCTGGTTCTCGTCTGCTGCTTCAGATGGCGATTGATTTGCGCTGTCCACCTGCTCCAGCGAAAGGGGCACTTTGTGCTCAATCTTCTTTGGCGTTCCGTTGCCCTCGTCCTCGCTGCCAGGCAGCTCCTTGAGTCTGTGCGAAGGCGTCGAACGCTTGCGTTGCACCACACGCTGCTTTTGCCGCTTGTGGTAGCAGCAATTCTCGCAGGAATCCTCGTCATCCTCATCGTGGTCGCCATCGCTGGTGCTGGCATAGCGCTCCCTTGACTTGCGCCGTCTAATCTCAATGTTGCTCTTGGATCGGCAGATGTCGCTGCACTTCTCATGCTGACTCTCGCCGCAGCTGTTGGTGCGCCTACGCAGCTGGCGGCGCTTGTGGCGTCGGCAGATGTGCTCCAGACGCTGCTCTTTACGGTACGACTGCTCCGTGCAACTGCACTCTTCGTCTTCCTCATCGTGCGTCGCTCCACCACCGGCTCTGTCAGCGCCGCCATCGGAATCAGTGCGCTTCAGATAGACCACGTACTTTTTGGAGCTACGCAAGTCGTGCAACTCCTCCTTTTCCATATACTTCAGAGGGCGCACAAGGTCCGCTGCATTGCCATCATGAAAAGGATTGCCTCGGCGGGCAGCCAGCCGCAGCTTGTTGGAGGGCTGACCGCCGTGCGATTGTAGAAACTTGGCCGTGGAGCGATGGCCCCGCTGCAGCGCACAGTCCAGCGGAGTCAGCACAATGCCACGGGAATTGCGATAGAGCGCATTCACATCGCCTCCATAGTCGAGGAGCAGCTTGCACATGTCCGTATAGTCGTTGGCAGCTGCTGTGTGCAGCAGACTGCGTCCGTCGTTGCTGGTGGTGTTCACCTGCTTGGGTCGCTGCGACAGCAGCCACTCGAGCAGCTCTCGGCGTCCAGAAGCAGCCGCCTCGTGCAGCGGCAAGTCGCCTTTGGCATTGCGCAGCCAGAGATTGGCGCCGCGTTCCTTCAGCAGCTTCAATGTTTCGAACTGGCCTTTAGAGCAGCCGCAGTGGGCTGGCGTGCGTCCCTTGCGATCCTGGCGATTGGGATCCGCTTCCAGGTCCAGCAGCCGTGCCGTGGCATCCGCATGGCCAAGCGTCACAGCATAATGCAACGCCGTGCAGCCGTTGGAGTCTATGAGATCTGTGGGCGCGCCGCACAGGCTGATTAGCGTGTCGATGCACTCGGTATGGCCACGGGAGCCGGCACAGTGCAGCGCAGTCAGGCCATCCCTGCAAGCAAAACAAATAATGTCAGTTGCCCTCAACAACAGGTCGAAGCAATTCAGTATTCAGGCTACTCAACCCACTTATCGGCACTTTCCACGCGTGCGCCTGCCTTAACCAGAGCTATGACTGCCTTTGCCGAGCCCGCCGAGGCGGCCCACAGCAGCGGCTGCCGCCCGTCCTTGTCCTGAACATCGACGCTGGCCTGCGGATGTGCCAGGAGTATGCCAAGAATCTCAAGGGCCAACTTGCTGGAATTGGACTGCAGCTTGTTGTCGTAGCTGGCGCCGCACATTTGGGCCGCATAGTGCAGGGGCGTGCCGCCATTAACATCGGGCTTGGCCACGCTGGCTCCTGCTGCCAGAACTGCCCGCAGAGCCTCAATTTCGCCGCACACTGCAAAAGCAAAGTCAGTTTGTTATGCTAGTATATAACGGAGAGCAAATAGCTGCGTTGGGCGGCTAGAGAGGATGGAATCTTACCCGTTGCCCAGTGCACCACCGAGTGGCCTTCATTGTCCACCGCATTCACATCGGCTTTGTTCGCTAGTAGCAAATTGACCATCGCCAAGTTGCCCTGAATAACAGCCAAGTGAAGCGGCGTGAAGCCATCCTCATCGGCCGACTCCAGCAGCTCTGGAGCTGCAATCGCAATGCTTGCGGCCGCCACGAGGTCGCTCGTCTGCTCCAGATCCTGCGCGGCACAATAATGCAGCGCGTTGCGGTTGCTACGGTCACGTTGCCGCAGCAGTTGGGGCTGCAAGAAAAGCAAGCATTCCAGTTATTTACTTGTGTTCACTTGTGTTATGAATGCATAATTCATTCATTCATTCGTTCATTCATACTCGATTCAATTTTTCAATTATTTATCGTTACATTCAAAGGCAGTTTAAAAAAAAAAAAAAACAAAAAAAAATAAAATTAATTATGGCTTAAAGCAGCGCCCCAATACACACGTTGCAGCATCCGCGGCAACTGCCACAGCAAAGCGATTAATAAACTAATTAAAATGTCATTTGCACGTCACGCAAATGTATACCACAGGCAGAGTATCTCTCGCCGTATACAACTGAATAAAAAAACTTAACAATTGTTGCACAAGCAGATCCCAACAGACTAGACCAACAATAGAACGAACGCTTAAATACCTGCCGTGTTTATAGAGACAATTTTTTCAGTAAGGAAAGTTATGTTTAAGCTGATACGAAGTGTATCGAGTGTCCTTAGCTTTTCAGCATTTCAATAAGACTGGCTTGTTTGCCCTTGGCTTCTGCCCACTTTATCAGCTATTCTTTATCTAAGCCCTGACCATTTGGCTAAGGGTATTTCACAGTTTGTTACCAATTCGGTGTTTAAGCAGGAGCTCAAAACTATAATTGCCTTCAAATGTTTTGCTTGCTTTTGCCTTCAGTTCTTTTTGTGTTATTTTTTTGTAATTTATTTATGTTAATATTTATTTAAATGTGCACATGCAGTGGCTGCAGCCGTAGCTGCTGTTGTTTTTGCAGCTGTTTTTGTCACTGGGCGAGTGTAATTAAATATTTTATTTTGCAATGAATTGCCAAGCTGATGCGCACGATTTTACAATTGATAATTGAACATATTTTCGCGTTAATCACGTGCAAATTGTGCGACGCTATCAATAATTAAAAATTACTTTTTCATTTGCGACCTGTATGCGGTCGCTGCTTGTTAGTAACTAAAGCAACAATGGCCACAACCAACGGCAACAATAATAAACAAAGGCAAAGACCGCTTTGCAGTTGCAAGCCTGGCGTCGCGTGGAAAGTGCAAGTGCCGCCACGGTTGCGCCTGGCAACGTGGTATTTCCACCACGTGACGCCCACAACGCGCACAACGCGCACAACGCGCCACCTGCATTTGCAACAAGGTGTAATTCGATGACCCCTGAGTGCCGCCAAGTGCAATTACCAAATTCACATTGGCCATTTTGGCGCGCAGCACGACATCGAACTCCAATGGACTGGCGAACATTTTAACGAATCCTGCCAAGCAGCACGTCGCCTTTTCCGCGTGTCAAAACATGTCAAGTGCACAAAAAATACTGTCGCCGCCTTCGAGAGCTGTGCGAAAACTTTATTCGCCACCGACTCAAAGTTCGCATTGCGACGACGGCAACTTTAACAGCAACAGCAGCAGCAGCAGCAGTAAAGGCAGCCACACGCAAACCCAAAAACTCCTCAAGTGAAAATATTGCTAAATCAGCGGCTCAGCGCCAATTTACACGTGAGCCCACATAGAGGATCCAGGCATAAACGCAATCTCTGTACTCTATTTCATATAAGTAAATCATTTTATTTAGTTTAGTAAATTATAAAAATACAATAAATTATAATATATCATCAAATTATATCAACTTTTCAAATGCAAAACATTTTTCTATTATTTCATTAATTAACATTAAATTAAATGACTTAATACCTTAGAGCTTTGCTTAAAGCTGAAAACTTTTAAATTAATATTTGACCACGAGCTACGAGTTCAAAGAGTCAGTTACTTAACGAACCTTAAATGAAACTCGTGTTAATTCAGCTCTAATAAATCAGAATAAAATCAACTCTGTTCTTCAACTACACTCAGATGTCTAATGCATAATATTAACTAAAATTGCCTTTGGTTTGTAAGAGAGGAATAAAAAAAGCTTAATTATATTTAAAATTGTAATGATTTTTTATTATAACATAAAAAATTGAAATTAAGACAGATTACTATAATCATCTTTTTTCATACAAATAAATTTAATTAAATAATTGTAATCTGTATCAAATATTCTATTTGACGCAAAACTCTGATCATAAAGTGTATGAAATACTCGTTTTGCTGCTGAAACTTCTTTCGCCGAAAGGCAATAGCTTGCGCTAATTTCCACATAGTCAAAAAGTTTGGATTTACAATGCTCGATTTGGCTTGTGTTTATCTTGGCAGTCAGACAGAATGATTGAATGTGTTGCTTTTCTAACCAACATTCAATTTCTGCAATAACATTTTGGGCACGTCCCGCTCGCTATTTTTATCAGGCGCAAGACATCGCGTGCCTGTCGGCGCGACAGAGGACCCTTCGCAGCAATTTTGGGCAGCAAATGCCAGCGACGCGTCGTTGTAGTTCAATTTATTGCATATTTAACCGAGTCGACTATAGAATAGTTCGATAGCAGCCGAAGAACTAAGATAACAACCCGGACGCAAAGACAAGCAAAACCGGGTCAGGCTAACTAAAGCCATTTGAAACTTGCGTGTTGCCAATGCCAGGCAAAGACAACGAAACAAGAAGTCTGAAGTCACGTGGAAGTTATGAATCTAACTACGGCATTAGAATATTGGTTTTAGATTGCCGCCTCAATTGATTTCAGCGTGGGAAAGTGTGCTATATAAACATTATTTTACATTACTTTGGTTAGGTATTAAAACAAATTGCCCAAAGAAATTACAAATGATCAAAAATCTTTCAGTTTGAAATGTGTAAAATTTAGATAAATATTTGAATGCTTAGTAAATATAAATGAAAAGAAAATTAAGTAAAAATAAATAAATAAATTTATAAATATAAATATGAATATATGAATTTATTTATATTTATATATTTTTTTTATTTATATAGAATATTTTGTATACAAAATTTAATTTTCATATTACTTTTCTTTAAAAACAGCTGTTTATCATAAAGACGAATTTAATTTAGTTCAAATGAGCGAATATACAATTCCTGTCAACAGTCAGTATATATGAAATTTGAGTCATAGACAAATCAGAAAAAAACCAAATAAACTGCTTAAGTAAGGCGCAATCTACTCCTAGATGGGCTTAAAAAAACAACTAAATCTCTTACAGAATTTAAGTTTTTCAGACAGACCACACCATTGGTAGCCCTATCACCAGAGTCAGACAGCGTTAAAACTGCGGAAACTATTGTTTTCTTTTTTAATTTGCCACACAACTAGACAACTTCCTGGAACTACTCCAGTAGAACGAGCTTTATAAATTAAAATTTTGAGCCAGATTGTAGATACTTCTCACTTTATGAACGAGTGCAAAAACATATATATAAATATAGATTATATATTAATAAACTTGTTTTGCCATATTCCAATTGGAAATGTGTGTGAGCTGTGTCAGGATAAGGGCCTGCTGCTTATGCCAATTCTTAGCGCATCTAAATTCGTTTAAGCTCTCATATGCTTTAAAGAATCCGAAATGGAGCAAATTATGTTAAGTCAAGTAAATATCTCAGTCCCATCTGGTGCAAGCTGTGGCTTGTTGCTGATCGATAATATTTTTGTTGATTGAATCGAAATTGTTTTGACGATGTTTTTGGTTCTTTTGTTGCTGTTTTTTTTTTCGTCTTCTTTTTAAAATCGTAAATTTACATTGCAATTGGCACAAAAAGTATTTACAATGAGGTTTATTTGATGCTACTTCCGTTATCTTGGTGTCCCTTTTACTGTGTGCTTTGCCCATATCGGGCGCTTCTTCAATGTTTCTTATAGCGAACCTCCGCTGCCATCCGGATTATGAATAATTCAAATAAACTGAAATGATACCTAAAAACTTTGACAACGAGCGAGCGATGCGGTACAAAGAAGCAGCCAAGGGTCACAGCTGGGTCGTACGGAAGGGGAAGACGGTAGTGGGGCAGAAGGAGGAGAAGGAGTGGTTTGGCTTAACGCAGCATCAAATAAAGTTCTCGTTTTGCTGTTTTGCCTTTGTTATTATTACGATGATGGTTGGTGTGATTGTTGGCGCTGCCACTGCCCCAATCCCACCACAACTGCTGCTGCTGCTGCTGTTGGTGTCAAGCGAATTTGCATTTAACTTTCTACGTTTGCCCAACACAAAATGAAATGCGATAATCAAATACGTCCAACAACAATGCAGAGGCAGAAGCAGCACCAGCCGCAGCATCTGGTCTCATCCACCTCCCAGTTTACCCCACTGCACGGAGCTAAGATAAAACTTCGACATTGCCAGTTGGCCATTCATAGACGAGCCTGGTCAGTCCAGCCTTCTCGCTGTTGTTGTTTATGCTATTTTAATAGTTTTAAAAACAAATAAAACACGCTCTGGCCGCATAAAAGAAAAACCCACAAAAGCAGCAATAATAGAAAAAATAAATCTGCGATTTGTCGTATTATTTTTGATTACCAGTCAACTTTATTCGATACCAATTATGAGCATACAAAGAGTGAATATGCCACAAATATTAAGATTTTGAAGTATTTTCAACTCAATTATATAAAGAAGAAACGAAAAGGTTAACTCAACTCAACTTAAAGATAAGTCGCAACGGCAATAAAATTATGCTCCAATCAGAAGTAACAAAGGAGCAGTTGGACAATGGCAGCCAGCAAATTTTACACATTTTATAACTCTTCATTGTGAAATCCAAGATCGTCAAATGATTCTGAGCGTTTACTGAGAAGTTCTCATTGTAAATTGTGGAGGCTCTGATTTGCGCCTAACGCAAGCACTGACAGTGGCGTTGAGGTGGGCTGGCTTAAAGCTGGACGACTCTTATTATTCATATATCGTAATCCATTAGCATAACAATGGAAAGGAGTGTTCAGAAGGAGTAGCAAACGGGCCACCGGAGGCGTAGGCCTTTGAATTTATATTTGGCTGTGACGCATACGTATACGACATGGTGTACCCATACATTTTATTGTTTACACGCAGGAAGTGCGTACACATAGACATACATATAAATAAAGCATAAATAATAATGAAAGAAGACACAGCAGCCGCAGCAGTAAAGCCAATGCCACGAACCGGGGGCACACAGGGCCGCACAGTGACATGATAATGCATAAAAAATAAAATACCATACATGGTCTGAATACCACGAATGGTATGGGCACAAATGGCATGCGGGCGCCTCCGCCTAGCCTAGGCAGTAACATGAGCCTGTATCCAAGTGAACATGAACCGAGAATTCGACTTAACGCTTCGTTGGGCAGCACATCCGCCATAATTATGTGTGACGCGACAACAGAATGGGACATTAAAAGGCCAGGACAGGGCCAGAGACTCACTAACGTTGCCGGCCAGTTCAGTACAGTTCAGTTCAGTTCGGCTGAGTTCAGCTCAGGAAGACCACATCGTATTTTCCTGTAGGAAATGCGAAAACAAACCAAAACAAATCCGAGCCACAGCCGCAGCCGCAGCCGCAGACGCAGACGTAGACATGCCGGAAGCACTTTGCAAGCGCCTTAAGGTCGCCATTTTGGGCCGTGTGGCCTGCTTGAGATGTCAAGTGACCAGCAGCAGCCACAGCGGGGCTCACTCAATGGCAAATTTATGCGCACAATGCGTAATTCATATGTTAATCACATACAACCAGGCCAGGCCCAGCCAAGCAGCTAACAATTCAGCCAGCCAACCAGCTACTTACGGGCTGAGTTTTAATTAATGCAAGCAACAAAATGCGCAGGTAGGTACAACTGAAACTAAGTACACACACACACACGTGTCCTTTTGCTGTCTTGATGCTAAGCAACACTGAAGGCATGTGGACGTGGACTCGTCTCAAGCAGCCAGACTTTGGCCAACAGCAGCAGTAACTATAATTTACATGCTTAGCAGACAAAAGCAGAGATTGCTAAGGCGAAGGCAAGGGCGAAGGCGAAAGGGAAGGGGATTTGTTGTTAGGGCAGAGCTGTGTGTGGGTGTTTGCTAGAGACAGCTCTTAAACTGTTGTTGTAGCACCTTTTATACTTCTAATTAGTGCCACATTGTTAGCTGCAACAACAATGGCTTGCATGCATTGCAGTTAACGTTGCTTGAATAGCTGCCTTTGTTGTGGCTGTCTTAGTGCCGCTGCCAACTGCTCCCTGCCGCCGCTCTGAGCAGCACGACAGCGGGAAACGTTTCGCTGCACAGCATTCTTAAGTAGTTTTGGCAATTATTTACAGCTACTTTGCCGGCAGCATCTCCGAGCCGTCGACTTAACGCTTGCCGCACGGATTATTATTATTATGCCG